TCTGCTCTGGTTGGACAAGAAATTCCCATGGATCCAGCTGTATTATTGCTAAATGATGACTCCAATTTAAACTTAACAGGCAAACAAAGGAAGATGTGGCTCGCTGGTTTAACATCGGCTAAAAAATTATTGCACAGACGTGGCTTCACCCACATAATCTAAGTGTACGACATTGGCTATTTCAACTGCATGACATAGTTAGAATTGGCCACAGCTAGGATTAAAACATCTACTCTTGAGACATGGAAACAGATTTGTTGTGATGTGACAAAAAGATTGGAACAAAGGCTATGAGGTACATCTTGTAAGCTAACATTCTTTTTTCTCTCTTTTTCATTTTATTTTTGAGATGTCATCCTTTGCACTAAATCTTACTTAGTAAATATTATAAAGTATATACAGGAAATAGGGATGGATGGACCAGTGGGACGGGGAGGGATGGGGTGGTAAGGGGGTTGTGATTTCCTGCAGTTCTGTAATGTCGTGATAAAATTCTGCTTGATTAACAGGAAACAAATAATAAAAAAAAAATGATCACAAAAAAATAGAAGCATCTACAGCACATTCTCTGTCAATCTGAAGAACGCTTTCACAATGTAAAGATCACTTTAGTCATGCAAAGGCTCATGTTCATGGCTCTATATAGAACCATTTTCTTTACTAAAGAACCTTTGAAGAACCATCTTTTTTAAGAGTGTAGGCTCGGCTGGTGGTTTCCGGCCCCATACTCAGGGCTGGACTGGGAGCCTAAGGACTGCTTTGGAAACCACACTACACTATCAGTAACATCAGTGATATAATTACAAATTTAATACATGAATATTATGAGGAACCACCAGGGTTCTCCAGGGTATGACCTCTTTTTTTGGGACCTAAACAAATGATTGTCTGAAATGTCAGGGATTTTGCTTTGCTTTCATGTTGACATTTGCTTTCTACCGTCTGCCTCCCGTGCACTCCTTTTTAAAAACCAAATAATTTACTAAAACTTAACGAAAATAATTATAGAAAAAATAATTTGGCACTAAAAAGGCATTGTGCAGCTGTCTCCCCCTTACTGTTAGACCCCACAGAGATGGTATGTAAAATAAGCCATTCAGATTTGCAGTGGTTCAGAACAGGGGTATCAAATGTTCTGTGCCTTAAAGGAGAATTGGTGAACATTCAGTTCCTGTGTGTGAATAAAAAATCTACATCTGGATTCTTCCACTGCTGTGGCTGATGAAAAATGTTGGAACACTGAACTCTTGGCGGAACCATCCACTGACCGCTGCGGTATTCTACTGTTGCCGCTGGTGGTGGCAGAATTTTCCATTGCTCCTCCATGAAAAAGCATGGAATAGCCTGTTTGCCTGTCTACCATCATAGTGTAAATGCTGCATTAGCATTGCTCCTCATTACACACACTGGATTAAGCTCATCAGCTAATTAGCAAGGCCTTCATGAGCTGAACTCACGACTTTTATTAGAGAGAAAATACTAATCTCTGCGGAGCTGTGTCCTCAAAGTAACCCAGTTTAACACCCTGGTCTAGAATCTAATCCTAAACCACTTGTTGCATATTGTGTCACTTGCTCACCTTGATTTAAGTCATATGTAAGTACATTTGTATAACTGAATGTGTTGAGAAGATCTAGATATGAACTAGGCCTACTAACACAAAAGCAAAGGAAATTAAAATCTTGACTTTTTGAATGACTGCAATTGAACTGTAACCAGTTGGAAATTATGTTGCTGATTCATACATCCTTGCTTTTGCTCTGTGGATTTTTGTTCTGACCACGACTAGGACAGCATGCTGTGGCGTCAGCATAGAGTAAGACACAGGGGAGCCATGATTCTTCTGCTGTTTTATGAAACACCAGGGCAGAAAGGCACATACAAAGCACTAACGGGAAAGGTCACCACTAGCCATAGACTTCCACGCCATGGTGACCCACCCCAACACGAAACATCCCAGCTCCCCGACACAGAGTAACACAAATAACACATATGCATACCTTTAAACGAGTAGACAAGAACATAAACAACATTAAATGTCCCTTTTACAGGATTGCACACCTCCATGACCCTCTACATAAACGTGAGCCAGTAGCGCAACGCCCAATACGTTGTATCGAACCCCTTAAAAGGCCAAGGCTCGCTGGTGGGCCCAAAATTTTATCACACACTTCTATAACCTAAGAATAGTTCTGCCAGTTTGCATTGTAGTCCCTGTAGTTACTGAATAATAAGCCTTAGTGTGTAATAAGCCTGAAATCTTAAGGGGTTAATTGATCTTTTGAGTGTCTTTTGAGTGCTTGTGTTTAAAATCCCTCAAGGAAAAAAACACAAGTGTCTCCACCTCCATTTGTGTTCAACCTGTGGTGCTACTATAGACAAGTAATAGTAAGCTGAAGAGAAACTGGTCCAGTAATGGATATATGCAGGCTGCATGAGGACTGCATGACCACAAATGCGCTAACTGGGACATGGCTTTTTACATCTATTGGACCATTCTGTCTATTAGACCAGCGGGAATAATGCTGGGTTTGCTGCCACCTGCTGGAGGTGAGTGGCATTGAGGTTAATCATGATTTTTTTAATACATTTTGAATACAATCCAGAGGAAAGTTCATCAATCCAGTGGCTGTTAAAATACAGCCATTACATTAGACGCCATCATGGAAACACCAGATGAAAATAAGGGCTGGCATTTGGATTTTATTCCCCCCTTCTAGTGCATATAAATGTTTTTTCTTTTCATTCTTTTTATCTATTACAAGGTGCATGGCAAGAACTGCATTGTTATTCCAATTCTTCTTCTTTTTCTTCTTCAATTAAAACAGGGGAGGCCTGTTAAAAACCTTTTTGTTTAACATTAACCCTTAATGTGAGCACACATTCCACTGCTACACTATTAACCTTCAATGTGTTTTTCTTTATTTTAATTGTAGCATAAACGTTTAATGCTGTAAACTACACAAATATAAAGGCTTTGCTTTAAACCATTTCAGACAGGGTTACTGGCCACTTTCTTAAGCAGTCTGTTTCCAGCACTTGGCCCTGCTAACATGGCTCATACAGCCCCTTTGATGCACCCTGAACAATGCCTGCTTTCTCATGGAAAAAGAAACACCATTTTCACCATGTCCCCTCCTTCTCTGTAGCAGTTTCACACAGTAGTGCCCTTCCAGAAGCTGAAACGAAGGAACATGTTTACTCTCACGCATCTACAGTTATGTGAAGAAGTAAAGACACAGTTTAGGCATTGGAATCTGGTATTCATTTAAGCATTGTTGATAGATAAAGGTGATATAGTGATAAGTGACACTTAAAATCATAAAAAAACACTTAAAAAAACATTTTTGTCACCCTTTATATAAAGGAAATGAAAGGAAATGCAATTTCGTCATGTGTAAAATGTAAATTGGGGTCAAATTCTTATCAAGTGCACCCAATCAGGAGCTAATGATTATGTTAGATAATATAATAGAGGAATCTGTCTTATTTAAACCTCAGATTTCTGGTCTGGTTTGCTCTTTGATATTGGACAGTGTGGTGTCTTCAGGCCTGAAGCAGAAGAGCTGTCCAAGGCGTTCAGAAAGAAGGTTGTAGAGGCCTATGAGTCTGGGAAGGGGTCAAAGATAGAGTTCTGGCCGCGGTTCAGAAGTCATGTTTAACAAAAACAAAGACAGAATTTGACCATACCAACTGTAAATGCAAGAAACCCCTCAAACATTGCACAGTTGAAAGAATTATGCCTTTTTGAGCTGCTAAATCACCTTTTTTTAAGATATTGTGTGCAGTTCCTCCATGAAACACTAGGGGGAAATACACCCTCAATTTTAGGGTCATAGATGGTCAATAAAAGTTTAATTCTTCTTATGAACTCTTTGTTTCAGTCCATCTTAAAAAAGAACTATAATTTTTATAGGAATCTTATATAAATTCCAACAACTACTGAAATTACTAGTTCACGTTACTACAGGACATTATAGATGGCTACTACAGAAGGTGAAAGTACTACAGATTAGGGATGTGCTGACCATGATTTTTTTGTCCGATTGCAATTTTGATCCAAAGCTCACACTGTGTGGGACAAATTAACAAATGAAGCACACTACCACATTTACAGGACTCTTTATTAGACAGATTTGCAATATCAACAACATAATTTGCTCATTTATGGGCAAGATTTCTTGTTTTGAATGTTGAAATTTTTAGCCAGTTGTTTTTTTTATTTAGAACAAGAATCAAGTTAGGTATTACATCAAAAGTCTAAGGCAACCAGCTATTTAGCAAATGAGTCATTATTATGCTGTGACATCTTGGTACAGGTGTAGCAGCAACATTCTGTAGGAGTGTGAGTGCACTTACCTGCTCCGGTTATTCATAAAAGTCTTAAAATTGCAACACAAGTCTGACAAAATAAATAAATAAATAAATAGATTAATTGCCTATTTTGTGTTTTGAGCAATAATCTGTTGATTCTGGTTGTGCATTCCTACTATAGATCTATAGATTTTTATAGGAGTGTTACACAGCACTCAGAAATTCCATCCTGCTTTGCACAACTCCACATATTCTCAGTACCGTGTACTGCCTGTGTCCTGTTTTGTATTTATTGTAAGTCCTTTGTATTCATTGCACTGTATTGTCTGCACTGTGTATATTGTATTGTCTTGCACTTGTGTCCCTGTGTTGCACCATGGTCCTGGAGGAGTGTTGTTTTGTTTCACTGTGTACTTGTATACAGCTGAAATGACAATAAAGCCTCTTGAACTTGATTCATTTACAACAATGTGCTGGTATATTCTAGTGAAAGGAAAGTTGCTGTTAAAAAGACTAACACTGGTGAATTTGGTTTATACTCCTAAAAGTAGCAAAGACATAGATCCCTCCAAAGACCCCTTTTCGCCTCCTTTATTTTTAGTGTAGGTGCCGTCCCTTAGTACTGTATAGTATCCATAAACTCAACCTGGAAACATTGATTTCAGAAACATGTGTTGTATTACACCTTTATTGCATTACACTTATTGTATTACATGTTGACCTACATCTATTTTATAACATCTGTATTGCAAAGAAAACTGCTGGTTCTGGATGAGTGCTGGCCTTACACACATTTCAGAAGTCTTTTTTTATTAGCAAGAAGGGCATTCTGACAGGTCTAGTTCCCTCCTCTGATTTCTAAATGCAAATACAAATTTCCATTAATGTGGAATTTCAAACTCTAAAACATTCTTTGTTTTAAAGTTCAGAACTTGGAGTCCAGAAGGTCCTACATCACAGCTGGTTCTCAAAAGCTGTGTACTCTCGCTCGGTGCCCTGAATGCCTTCTATGAGGTGTGCGAGGCCTGTGCGGATAGAGTATTTGAAGGTGAAAGCTTTCATGAGGTTGTGGCGATAGTGGCACCGTGAGAAGCTGTAGACCACTGGGTTCAGGAAGCAGTGGAGCAGGGACAAGCCCTGGGTGAGGTGCAGCGCAACATAGAGTCCATTCTCTGCCTCACAGCTAAGTGGTAGCAGCCCCAGCATGGCCAGGGCATCTGCCAGGAGGACTCCTTGATATGGTGCCCAGCAGGCCAGGAAGACCACAATATAAGTAAGGATGTTCTTCTTATTGACACTACAGTCTGGGTCCCTATTTGAAGAGGCCAGAGCACTTGCTAGCAGCACGGATGAGGTGGCAAAGACAGAGAAGGGCACAGCAAAACCCAACACTACAAAGCTTAATTGCAGGCCCACCATCCACTCCATTTGGTTGTTTTCTGGGTAAACAGGACGGCACAAGGTCACATCGCTGTGCACAGACTTAACCGATTGGAGGAAGTAGGTATCAGGCACTGAAGCAATCAGAGCAACTAGCCATACTCCAGCACAGACCAGACGCCGCATAGTCTTTTCCCATCGAAAGAAGGCGTCGTCTGTCCAAACCACGGTCAGGTAACGTTCCACACTCATGCAGGCCAAGAAGAAGATGCTAGCGAACAGGCTAACACTGAAGGTCAGGTGAGTCAGCTTGCAGGCAGCTTGACCAAAGGGCCAATGACCCTCCTGTGCAAGTGAGCTTGCCCATATAGGAAGTGTGGTCACCACACATAGATCAGCCACAGCCAGGTTGAGAATGTACAAGTGCATCTCATGACGGTGTCGACGCTCTGAGCGTAGGTTGATCCAGATTACCAAGCCATTGGCAGCCACACCCACCACAAAGATGAGGACGTAGAGGGTGCACATGGTCTGGAGGAGGGCTGAACGTCTGAAGTAGGTGGGGCACATTTGGGTCTCTACCTGTGACATGTTGTGATGGTCTGTCATATTGAGGCCATTCCATGCAGTGAATAAGTCAGAGAGTTCACCGGCAGTGAAGCTCATTTTTTACTAGTAGAGGATCTGGAAAAAAAGAAAATCTATCAAATATAACTAAGGAGAAATAAAAAGTGAATACTATTATATCACTGAGTGGGGATAGAGAAGAGATAATGTCATCAAGAATAACAAAAATGAGCATTATTTATGTAGCACCTTTACAACGACAAAGGCAAATAACATTAATTCATTTCAGAGAATGAGCCTGTGATGCTTACATTTGGTCATGTGACATACAGTCGTATGTAAAAGTTTGGGTGCATCCTGATCAAATAGCATAGGGCTTCATTCACCAACCATTCTTAAGAAGAAATTTCTTCTTAAAACCCACTTTTGTAGTTTTCACAAGGTTTCTGACATTCACCAACGGGATTTGTTCTTAGGTAAGAACAGAATCCACACACACTTAAGAGCACAAAGGTGCGAACAGTTCTGCAGTTTAGAAGTCTGCTCAACTTAAAATGATATAGTAACTGATTTCATGGCTTGTCTTGAGTTGACTCAACTTGAGGACACTTGAGGTTCACACAACTCAAACTTCTTAGTTGAGTCAAAAATTCTCCCACTACTGTTTCTAGCTCTGCATCTGTTAGACGAACAAAACTGGTCTTGGGTTTATTGACTCAGTTTCTCTACTAGCTGGAACTCCTCTTATCACACAGTCACATCTGGCATATTTCCCTCTTGGGCTTCCAGACATGCACAGCTATGGCACTGCTGGGGGTCAAACTCATAATCTCCTGATGTTGATTTTCTCCAGTGTGTTAAACATTAGTAGACACAGTATCTAGGTGGCTTCACGTGTTCCAGAGTGGCGCAGTGGACTAAGCTGTCGCCCCCACAGAAGGTTGTGAGTCGCATCAGTTCATAACCAAGAAGAAAAATGTCTAACAGGATTGTATGATGGAAAGAGTCCGTAGTGGGGAAGCTGCGTATAAAAAACAAGCTCATTTTATTTACCTCACTGAGATGCTTAACTTAAAAATTAAGAGAATGTTTGACTCAACTAGGACGTTTGAGCTGTGTGTACTTTTGTGTCCTCAAGTTGAGTCAACTCAAGAAAAGCCAGGTAATCAGTTACTGTATCATTTTGAGTTGAGCTGACCTCTCATTTTTAACAGTGAACACATCATGAATCTGACGTAGACTTTTTCTTAGGATGTTTCTCAAGAACAAATGAAAGAAAAAGTTAGGAAGATACTGGAAGTAGTAGTTCTAAACTACTCTATACAGTAAAAAAATGACAAAAAGGAAGATATTGGTGAATGGGACCCATAGTTTTGTTGATTTTCTAAGTGAAAATAAGTACACATCCTCTATTTTTCTGCATATTGGGGAAAAATAATATAAAACGTGGCCTGTGCAAAAGTTATGACACATTTTATTTTTTATATTAGGTCAGAAAAGGCCATATTTAAGTTGAGGATGTGCAAACTTATTTTCAGAAAATTAACAAAACAGGTCATTTGACCTGGGGTGTTCAAACTGTTGGATTAGAAGTCTTTTTAGTCGATGCCAGTGATGATGGATTGCTATGTGACATTGTCAGAACAGTGTACGTTAACACTAAAAATTGCTAAAAATTGTCAAATGATTTTAATGTTAAAGTCATTTAATTGTAAATAGCTCTGAGTGATATTTGGAATGGATTTTACATTGTGTGGTTGCCAGGGTTGTGGACTGACTTCTGATTATAGTTGTGAATTTGAAAGCAGATCCAGCATATATATGCAGCCTCATTCTAACTGTCAACTGATGTCCAACGGTAACATCTTCAGAAACACATTTAAAGGCTATTATTGAATGAATGCAGCAAATGAGGACATCGATATGTGCCCTACACAACACACACACACACACACACACACACACACACACACACCACACACACACACACACAACACACACACTCACACACACACACACACACACACACACACACACACACACACACACACACACACACACACACACTCACACACACACACACACCCACACAACACACACACTCACACAACACACACACACACACCCACACAACACACACACTCACACACACTCACACACAAACACACACACACACACACAACACACACTCACACACAAACACACACACACACACACACACACACACACACACACAACACACTAAGACACAAGAAAGTAAAAGGGTAAAATATACACTAGCATTCAAAAGCTTAGAATCACTTCTCATTTTAAAAACTGCTGTTATTTCATTCAGAAGTTAAACCGTGTAAACTGGAATACTATAAACCAGACACTAGACGGCATTTCACAGTGTTTTATTTATTTCAGATTTTTGGAACATCTAAAAGTTATTAAATCATAAATAATGCACTGTAATTATTCATTTGCAGTAAATAAGTTGTCCAGGGACGTGGGAAGGTGTTAAGTTGTGGGTGCTGAAATTTTAAGCCATGTAGGAGCGTAGACGCGTCGTGATATTATTTGCCTTTTTTAAACAATTTACATCAAACAGAGCGCGCCTTGCAGTGCTATAATGAGGCGAGATGACAACAACACGTATAACTGACACCACAGACCACTGACTCACAACCTCCCTCTGCGCTTTCCTTCTGGACGAACGTTATGCAAATAAGCTGAGTGGTGACCAATCAGATTGTTAATATGTGGCGCAGTAACCGATTATGTCCCACCCACAGTCACACTGTGAGATTTAACACTGCAATGCGCTCTGAATGGGAGATATAACGGTCGATAAAAACTTAATTATTACGAGAGATGATTATTTTTAAGTGTAAAAAACAATATTGGGCTGCTTTGGGACTTTAAGCTGTCCTATAACTCTGCATAGGAATATTTCTCTCTTTGCACCTCAACCTTTGACCAAGGCTTATTATAAAGTTCACACGTTATTATTATTATTATTATTATTATTATTATTATTATTATTATTATTGTTATTATTATTATGAACAATTAAACTGTCAGGGGCTGCTGCAGCCCTCTCACAGCTCGCCCACTTCCCTCATCCTTGCCCGAGATTTGGTTACCACTTGTGTACATATAAAGTAGTGTGAAAAAGTCTTAGGCGCCTAATCGCACTGCTGAAAACCTTTTATCTTGGCAGTGTGTTTTTGACAGTTAAGCACTACATACCATTCGACTAAGTGCAAAAACCATAAATACAGCAAAAAGTAAGGAGAGTTTCTCATTTTGAAAAAAACAGTTGACATCCTGTGATCTAGTCTGAAGAACTAATTTGGGTTCAGATTTCTCCTGGACGCCTCCAGCCAGTTTACATCCAGATTCGTTCAATTCCATCAGCAGCACGTCTGATTGATATAAGCCAAACCAGGTGTTGGATGATAAATGCAAATAATATGGGCTTCCTCGAGGAGAGGTTCGGAACAGGTTAAACGAAATGACATGCATAAAATCTGTACTTATTCTCTCAATGTTGTTTAGATTTATTCTAATATTAGTATTTCTCCTAACAGCAAACAATGTAAATGTACCCCTTAAAGGTACAACAGTGGTTTCAAGGTCCAATAGTGTACCATAAATAAGTTTTTCCCCGGTGAAAAGTGCGTAATTGTACCTTTTGATAACCTAATATTTTTAAAACAGAGCAATAAAATAAAAAGCCTGGAGACGAGACGGGGTGTGTGGAGTCAGTACATAGAATTTAATTGTATTATGGTACAATTATGTTCCCTGACTAAAGGTAGTGACAAGAGGGGTCCCAGTGATAGTTTTGTAACTTTTTTTTCTGAGAATTTATATATATATATATATATATATATATATATATATATATATAGGAGTTACAGCGAGAATACACGTTAAAATGCTCGTATTCACCTTAAACACTGGTGTACTGTTGATTTCTAAGGTGAGAATGCGTTGTTTTTATAAGAGACGCAACAGAAGCGCTTACCTGCTCGGGCTTAGAGCGCGGTGGTGTTACAGCGTTCGCTGCGCGCGGAAAGGCGGAGATTATAACTGCATGAGCAGAAGCTCCTCAGACTTTCGTTTGCCGTTTCAACCAGGACGTCCCTGCCGTTTCAACTGCGACGCCCCTCACAGCGCTTTCATGCCGAGGACTGTTTGGTGTCTGAGACGTACAGTGAACGAGGGTGTTGTGAGGGGCAGATAGGCTACCTGCAGAAACCAACCGTTTCACAACAAAGAGTTACTGGTTTACACAGTAATGCGACGAATGTAAGGCGACACTCATGTCACACACTTCTCAGTTCTTCTTAAAAAGAAGATTTACGCGTTTAAAACTCTCAGTTTCTCAATATTCCTTGTATCACAGTTGAAAACAGTCTACGGTGGTTTCACTTTAATACATTGTGCATAAACTTTGCTTCACTGACTGAAAATCAATCTGCCGGACTGTAACATCTCCACAAGCACACTTTCAGCACAATTTAGGGCTCCACATCAAATGAACAGTACAGTTAGGCCCGTTCCCAGTTTGGGGTGATGAGATGATGCCATGCTTTAGTTAAAACAGCAAATATTTTCTCCAGTATGTTAAACATTTGTAGACACAGTATCTAGGTGGCTTCATGTGTTCCTGAGTGGTGCAGTGGACTAAACTGTCACCCCCACTCAACTAGGACGTTTGAGCTATGTGAACGTTTGTGTTCTCAAGTCAAGTCAACTCAGGAAAAGCCAGGTAATCAGTCAGTGTATCATTTTGAGTTGAGCTGACCTCTCATTTTTAACAGAGAACATCACAGTTTGGCCCATTCCCAGTTCACCCCTCGCCCCTACCGCTTAGCCCTTACCCTTCCGTTTTGTGCGTTCATGTCTAGGGTAGGGTGTCCCGATTTTTTTTTTAGATAGAGGGGTGGGGTGAAGCGTTAGGGCTACATGGCCCTCCAAATAAAGGTTTTTCTCTGTAAAAAAATATGATAACCACTGTATTATCTTAGTTTAATGTCGTTTTAATGTGTTACGGTCCTTTTCTTCATAACAAGCATAAAAATAGTATGCTGATATTTTGGTAGCTAGCCAGTTAATTTTGCCGTTCCACCTTAAATGGTGGATTTAAGGTGGAACAGAAAAAATTCTAACAAGAAGCTGGCAAATACCTGACTTAAGCTTAATATCACAGAAGAATTAGGGGTGGGCAGTAATAGTCTTGCCCAAAACTGAAGCACAAACTGCCTGCATATGAACATCTCAGTCCAATCCATGTGCATGATATGGGATATGGAGTTTTTCCCCACCTTTGTTGCTGTAACAATATCTGCTTTTCTGCAAAGGTGTTTTTGCAAGATTTGGAAAAGATTTGTGGTTGATTGTGTAAAACATCTTAAAGGACGGGGGTGGCATGGTGGCGCAGTGGGTAGCGCTGTCGCCTCACAGCAAGAACAGCCTGGGTTTGATTCCCAGCTGGGCGACCAGCGCCGTTTCTGTGTGGAGTTTGCATGTTCTCCCAGTGTCTGCGTGTGTTTCCTCCTACAGTCCAAAAACATGCAGTCAGGCTGATTGGACACGCTAAATTGCCCCTAGGTGTGACTGTGTATGTCTGTGGAAAAACAATTTTTTTCTAGCATCATCAGAATACAAGAAGTTGATACAGTACTAAACTGTCACTGGGGCAGTACCCCTCTTGTCACTGGGGTGGTACCCTCAAATGTACATCTTCAGTACCTTTAATCAGGGAACATAATTGTACCATTTTCCACTCTGTCTTGTGTCTAGACCTTCTATTTTATTGCTCTGTTTTAAAGCATTAGGTTATGAAAAGGTACAAATATATACCTTTCCCTGGGAAAACCTTTTTATTGACCTGTACACAGTTGGACGTTACAACCACTTTGAGGGTACATTTACATTACATTAACGAAAAATGTACCTGCACAGTACCTTTATTTTGGCAGGGTAGAATCCACATATGGACACTAAGCTGCAAAAGCAGCCCATTTTTAAACCCCTCTCCTAAAAAATATTATTTACACATATCCACCATACAGGGCAGCCAATCAGAATAGGGCTTGTTTAGATATATCAGTCTTAAAGGCACAAAACACAACAACTTGTTTAATCCTAAGGGATAAACAATGTTATAAAATGGTCATGTGAAAGAGAATTGTGTTTTTAGTACATAAAGCACACACAAACATGATAAGTGAACCTCAGGGGATGAAATAAAATGCAAGAAAAATGTATGATATGGGCTCTTTAAATATCCATTTATGTTAAATGCTTAAAAAATTGAAAATTAAAATTGCAGAACTATCAAAAACTTATGTCCCAAAACATATAATGTTTTTCACTTTCCATTTAAACATGTCCCTGTACAAACTTCATGCATCTGGAAACATCTGGCACAAAATTCACCAAAGGAGTGCACAAAGAGGAGACAAGCATTGTACTAAGGACTGTGCCATACATAACTGTTTTCCATAAATAAATAAATAAACACATAAATACATTTATTTTATTATCATGACTATTTATATTGTTGCACATCACTCACTGGTTAGATTTCTCTCATTTTTCCAGCGTATGATCAAGCTAATAATAACAGTGATTTTTTTCATACTGGTTTTACCAAGAATACTTTTGAATATGAAAGGCACTGTACATGCATAGACAAATAAGCAAACAAACAAGCAAATGAATAAATATGTTGTCGAACCGACTGTCAATAATGTCATGACACTTGCCTGCAAAATCAGGACTGCACAAATCATGTTAAAAATTTCAAGCAGTAATTGAATATACTGATCTGATGCTAAACAAAACTTCATCTTTCCATGTACTGCGCTTGCAGTATTTGTTATGAAATCTCTTTAATGAATTTCTGTAGTTTCTGTAACTCTGATGTGGGATGAAGATATGACCTCATAATATGATAGGAATCAGCGGAAGGCTAATTGTTTTGAAACCGTTTGAAAGGGCCGGGCCCACCATCCCGGATATGTCCATTGTCCTTTCATATCAAAAGTACAATAGCAGGTTCCAAAGCTCTGTTATAAGCATGTTTTCCTTTGACCTGTGCCAGCGACTTTATCTCTGCTTTTCTTTTCCCAATGCGTGTTACTTTGAAATGAGGGATTGAATACGATGACTTTAAACTTTAAGCTGTAAAAACTGCAGGAATTCTTTATTGCTGAAGGAAAAGAACAAGAATATACACAGCAGGGTTACATACGCTAAACGACAAATGTCTCTCTGCCTTTCACAGAATTGATCCCTAAGTTATATGAAATTTCTGAGTCATTCCATTTAAATGATACATAATGCTTTTATCTCTACATCTTATTCCTCCACAGTCAAGCCTTAGTAACCACCTGGGATACCACAGCAACTGCCTAGCAACAACTTAGCAACCACCTGGGATACCATAACAACAGCCTAGCAATGATTTAGTAATCAGCTGGGATACTGTAGGAACACTTTAGCAACCACCTAGCAACACCTTAGCAACCACTTGTCATACAATGGCAATGGCCTAGCAACACCTTAGTAAGCACCTGTGATACAATAGCAATGGCCTAGCAAAACCTTAGTAAACACCTGGGATGTCACAGAAAAGGCCTAGCAACACCTTAGCAACCACCTGTGATACAATAGCAATGGCCTAGCAACACCTTAGTAACCACCTGGGATGCCACAGAAAAGGCCTAGCAGCACCTTAGCAACCACCTGTGATACAATAGCAATGGCCTAGCAACATCTTAGCAACTACCTGTGATAGTATATTAGCAGCCTAGCAACAACTTAGCAACCACCTGGTATACAATAGCAATGGCCTAGCAACACCTTAGCAACCACCTGAGATAGCATATCAGCAGCCTAGTAACGTTTCAGCAACCACTTTGGATACCATAGCAATGGCCTACCAAACCTGAATGACCACCTGGGATAGCATATAAGTGGCCTGGGAACACCTTAGCAACCACCTGGGATACCATAGCCATGACCTAGCAACACCTTAGTAACCACCTGTGAAACAATAGTAATGGCCTAGCAACACCTTAGTAACCACCTGGGATACCATAGCAACAGCCCAACAAAACCTGAGCAACCACCTAACAACCTCTAAGCAATGCCCTAAGAACAAGATGGAATACTATAGCAAACTTGTAGCAACACAATAGCAACTACCTAGAATTACTATAAACCCAATTATGTTATCAAAAACAATCATCAATATTTTCTTTATTAAATACTCGCGCAAAAGAAGGCTGTGTGCAGGACATGTCAGAATGGTGCTATTTCTGACAGTGGATATGTGTTTGTTGCCTTCATTTATTTTAACAACAGTGAACAAATTAAATTACAGAACATTGCATGGATAAAAGTATGTGTACATCATTCTTATAAGTGGGCTTGACAATTGCAATGCTATCACTATAGACAAACACAGGCAGTAGAATGAGTCATGTTAAATAGAACAGTAACTTTCAGTATGTCAGGGTCACAGGATACCACCTTTCCAACAACTCAACTCAACAAATGTCTGCTCTGCTAGAGCTGCCCCAGCCAACTGTAAGTGCCATGATCATGAAGTGGAAATGTCTAGAAGCAACAACCACAAAGTGGCAGGAGATATAATCTCACAGAGCAGGACCGCAGAGTGCTGAAGCTCTAAAACACTTATCTGTCACAATTTTGCACAAGCCTGAAATCACCATGTTCAATGTCAAATGCTGTCTGCATGAATGCATAGTGCTAACAGCAAAATCGTGGACCTTGCTTTGTGCACAAGGGCACTGTCATGCTGGAACAGGCAGTCCAGGCTGAAATATGTCTTGTAGATGCATCTTGAATGGGTGGGTTGAACTGCTGTGAGCTGAATATGCAGAAATGTGTTGTTTTTTGCAAACCAGAGCATTGTTGCTACTTAGTTTCCATATATAGACTGAATGGACTGGTGAGAGTGGACACAGTATATTTTGAATTTTTTACTAGTTTACATACTACATGAAACATTTTCTTAAAGGAAGAAAGAAAGAAAGAAAGAAAGAAAACAAAAAAGGAAATTTAGATTCTTTGATGCCCAGTGTTCTGGAATGACAACACATTTTTGGTCATATACTGTAGTAACACACAGCAGAGTCCACCTTGTACATAACTCCAGACACCTGCAAGGAGAAAAAAGTACAGTTTTCAGAGGAAGTGGCTTTGCGGGTTTGGTGATAGACTGATACTGCATGTCTTGGGTGTAGCTTTCACACATTTTACACCTTTCCTGAACCCACAGACCATGATACACCCTCAACGAATATACCGCGAGATACACCCTACATCATTCACAAGTGCATGACAACTTCATGAACATTACATTCATCAACACCTTTGATAAATTTCAAATTCAAAACAGCAAAAGCTCTATTTATATTGTACTGTTCATCTGGAGCTGCTAAAGGGGGTAAAATGTGAGCTAAACCAAACAGAAACCTTGATGCCTTATCAGCCCTTTTACAACATAAATCAGCTACTGTGTAGTCTGTAAGTAATTTAACGGTGGCATAGTTTTTAGGAAATGAATAACTGCCCTCTTCATTATACAACCCCATTTCCAAAAAAGTTGGAATGCTGTGCAAAATGTAAATAAAAACAAAATGCAATGATGTGGAAATCATTTATAACATATCAAATGTTGAAACTGAGAAATGTTATTGTTTTTTGAAAAATATAAAAGAGCATCTCAGAGAGCATCTCTTTCAGAAGTAAAGATGAAGAGGGGTTCACCACATTGTGAAAGACTGCACGATCAAATGGTGCAGCAATTCAAGAATAAGGTTTCTCAACACAAAATAGCAAAGAACTTTTGGTTTTCATCATCTACAGTACATAATAACACTAAAAGACTCAGAGAATCTGGAGAAATCTCTGTATGCAAGGGACAAGGCCAGAAACCAGTATTTGCTGGCCACAATCTTTGGGCCCTCAGACGGCACTGCATTAAAAACAGACATGATTCTGTAGTTGAAAGCACTGCATGGGCTCAGAAACACTACTGAAAACCACTGTCTGTGAAAACGGTTCATCACTGCATCCACAAATGCTAATTAAAACTCTTAAATGCAAAGAAGAAACTGTACATAAACAGGATCCAAAAACGCCGCTGCCTTCTCTGGGCCTGAGCTCATTTAAAATGGACTGAGGTATAGTGGAAAAGTCTCCTGTGGTCTGACAAATCAACATTTGGAGTTCATTTTGGAAATCATGGACACTGTGTCCTCCGGGCTAAAGATCACTCAGCTTGTTAGTGCACAGTTCAAAAGCCAGTATTCATGATGGTATAGGGGAGCATTAGTGCACAAGGCATGGGTGATGTGCACATCTGTGAAGGCACCGTTAATGCTGAACGAAATATACAGGTTTTGGTTTCGTCTTTTTCAGGGAAGGCCTTGCTTATTTCAGCAAGACAATGTCAAACCACATTCTGCATGTATTACAACAGGATTGCTCCGCATTAAAAGAGTCCGGGTGCTAAACTGGCCTGCCTGCAGTCCAGACCTGTCACCACTGAAAACATTTGGCGCATTATGAAATGAAAAATACGACAAAGGAGACTCTGACCTGTTGAGAAGCTGAAATCCTACATCAAACCAGAACAGGAAAACACATCACTTTCAAAACTACAGCAATTGGTCTACTCAGTTCCCAAACACTTACAGAGTGTTGATAAAAGAAGAGGTGATGAAACACAGTGGTAAACATGCCCTGTCCCAACTTTTTTGGAATGTGTTGTTGGCATCAAATTCAAAATGGGCATATATTTTTCAATTTCCCACAGGACCACCACAGAGCAGGCATTATTTAGGTGGTGGATCATTCTCAGCACTGCAGGCATGTTGACATGGGGGTGTGTCAGTCTGTGTTGCGCTGGTACAAGTGAATTAGACACAGGACTACAGTAATTGTACAACTACAGAGTCTACCTATACGGTAAGCTTACCTGAAAAATGGACAATGAGTGTAGGTGGATCTTATATATACACATATATGTATATATATGAATATAGCTGGTACACTGACTACAACGAAAAGTGAAGTTAATACGGCAATATTGTAGTAATACCAGTGCACCACAAGGTGGCACTGTACATCCATAAAATCAACTGGCTCAAACTAATGAAATAAGATATAGAAATCCCTTTTTTTAACGCGATAAATATCTGCTACATTTAATAACTGGCAAATAGTCAAATTACTAAATAGAAATCAGCTCTGATTTTGGTTTAAGAAAGTGATGCATGTTGTGAAGTCACCACTGCTGATGTTAAAAGTTTGTCAAACAGCTTTACACTGTGACAACTTCCTTCTTAACCTACAAAAGTGTCTTTGTTGTAAGGATATCTGACCTATCTAAGCGTTCGGGCTCAATGACAAGCGGAGGTGAGAGAGAGAGAGAGAGAGAGAGAGAGAGAGAGAGACAGACAGACAGACAGACAGACAGACAGACAGACAGATATTGGTTAATATTATTTTTGGTTGATATATTTTCATGCTGGTGCATGATAACAATCACAAATCAGAAGATGTTTTAGAGGGGGATAAAAGTCATTACGTTTCAATGGAAGATATTAGTAAAACAAGAATTTTGTCCTTTACCTAAAATGATATGATGAATCATACTTGGTACAAAGTGATTCATTGTCTTCAGTAGGGCTATATAATTGTACATCATGGATTAAAGTATTGCAAACTATCCTTCAAAAGGTTTTTTAGATGTTTTATTAAAAACATAAGAGTTCTGTGAACAACAAGTGAGTGAAATGATAAATAATATATTGTAATTATTTATTGACATTAACATTTGGTCAAGTTATGGGAGTTTTTAAATACCTCAGTGTCACTGCTAGACTGAGAATAGTCCATCAACCAAAAATATCCAGCCACAGCATCCTGTGGGCAGCGTCCTATTACCACTGATGAAGGACTAGAGGACGACCAACACAAACTGTGCAGCAGCAGATGAGCTATCGTCTCTGACTTTACATCTACAAGGTGGACAAACAAGGTAGGAATGTCTAATAGAGTGGACAGTGAGTGGACACAGTGTTTAAAAACTCCAGCAGCACTGCTGTGTCTGATCCACTCATACCAGTGCAACACACACTAACACACCACCACCACGTCAGTGTCACTGCAGTGCTGAGAATGATCCAGCACCCAAACAATACCTGCTCTGTGGTGGTCCTGTGGGGGTCCTGATCATTGAAGAACAGTGTGAAAGGGGGCTAACAAAGAAACAAATGAACTAGAGTCTGTAATTGTAGAACTACAAAGCGCACCTATATGGTAAGTGGAGCTGATAAAATGGACAACGACTGTACAAACAAGGAGGAGGTTTTATTGTTATGGCTGATCAGTGAATATATGATCATGTGCTTAAAATGAAATCTGCTGAATTTGCCATATTTACTGTCAGACTTGAAGTGAGCTTTCAGCTCTGCAGGACAGACTGCTGCTGCATAACACAATGAACGAATTAGAGCAAAGAGCTAAAAAAGCACGTTTTATTTTCTTTATATTTAGGTTTTAAAATAAGTTTATTTGTGGTCATTTTGCAGGCTGTGCTGCTGCAGCTGCTGCCCTGATTTCCGCGCATGCGCACACTGCCTGAGTCACGAGAGAACCGCATCACCGCATAGCATCCCTCCGCCTTTTGCAGAAAACAACACTGGGCCCAGATGCAGAATTACATATTCAACTCGTTTTTAACCACAAATAAATGATGCATTTCATAATAGCCGTCTTATAAATCGACGCTGTATGCCTTCTGGTATTTATGTGCGCTATCTTGGTCTCACATCACAACACGTTAGGGGCTATTTCACTGCACAGTCGCGGAAGGGAACCGCAGAGGGCGAGGGATGTGAGGCGGTCAAGATGGCGGCGCCCTGTGGAGTGCAGTTTCTTTAAGAGGTAAACAGGCTTCGTTTTTTAAGACGGATTTATTTTCGCAGGCGTGAAGTGTCACGTTCTGGGACAACCTAGAAAATCTGATGGGAGCCTGAATTTGATTTGCATTCTGTGCTCAGCCAGGCGTCCGTTTGAATTTGCTCAAAAAGCTGTCGGTAATGCTCCTCTGCTCCGGACTGAGTGCAATAAAAGCCTTCAGTTCTCATTGATTTATATGGAGGAGCTGCAGCAACCAGGGCATTTCCCCACATGCTTGTGGGTGTGCGTTCAAACCAGTCGACTGTGTGCGTTTGGTAAAATTAAAAGTCATCTTTTCGTTATTTTTGTGGAGTTAGTCTGGCGAGTCCTGGCCATTGTTCTCGGACGAAGCTGAAGTCCCCTTCTTATTCGCTGGCTTCTTATTCGAATTCTCCCGTTCCACCTTAAATGGTGCAGCAGTTACATTCTGGCGACTCGGGGCTCCAGAATGGAACTGCTGCACCATTTAAGGTGGAACGGGATAATTCGAACAAGAAGCTGGCGAAATAGGAAGCCAACTTCAGCCTCGTTGTTCTCGGGCAGTTGTTGTTTACGCCAGTCAGTCATACAGTCAAGGAGGGACGGCAGTGCAGGGAGGAACCGAGCTGGCAGAACGGGTTATGGCTTTCTGTTGAAGTTATTCCTTCCAGCAAACAGCAAATATTGCCCAGATCTTATCTGAATGCAGATGTGGTGTGGTCATGTGCACCACTATGTATTATGAACTCCAGGCCTTCAGCTCTAGCTCTTGCAGAATCTTGCAGAGGAGCAGCTTGGTGACTGCTGTCTTTGGAGCATAGGAGTTTGGCCACAGCAGTTTCTTTTATATGAACTGGAGCTTCAGCATCATAGTTTAGCACTCTGAACTCTGAGTTCATGTTTGATGGTTGAATGAACCCTTGATCTTGTATGTGAGGTTCATCCTTTTGGCCCTCACTTTAAAAGCATGATGAGGTCTAGTGGGATCTGTAATGGTTATCGAGTTTCTGTTCTCCCTTGCTTTTGTGGAGTACCCTGTCCTGTGCTTTTTAGTGTTTTCTTGCTCTAACACATCTAATTCAACTCAGAAAGGGCTTGTTAATGGGCTGATTCATTGGATCAGGTATGTTGGGAGCAGGAAAATGCTCGGATGTACAGGGCCGGGTTGGGATGTTTGGCTGTGATTGGAATTGCCTGTTCAATAGGCTTTTATGGCTCAAATGGCAATTCCACTGATTTTTCAAAATTTCTGCATGGTTAGTATGTAAACAAAGATATTCAGAGTGGTTTGATATGAAATGCTCCTATCTAGGGAAACTTACTAAGTCAGAATTGATCATAGTGGTAGTGATAGGAACCAGATATCTGAAGAGTTTCATTCTTCTGAAAGCTACCTCACAGAAAGCTTTCACTTGAAATTGTTACGTATATGCTGCCTGGTGTCTGGCTTTACCATAGTTTTGAAGTTTTCAGAGAAGATTTTGGCCTGAAAGAATATATGTATGTATGTATATATATATATATATGTATATGTGTATGTGTGTGTGTGTGTGTGTGTGTGTGTGTGTGTGTATGTGTATATATGTGTACACACACGCATGGTGTTATGAGGCAAGTCTCAAAAGAAAGCATATATTACAGATTCACCTGATTTGTGTAGATCTGAATTGGTATCTTCCTCTTCACTGAACCATTTCACATCAAACGGCTCTGAATGACTTTGTTTATATCCACAACAGCTAAATTATTCAGAAAGTTTGGAAAATCCGTTGAATTCCTTTTTAGTCTGTGCTTGTAAAACTTTTAAGTAAAGACCTAAAATAGGAAGGTAAACTGAGTAGGTCTGTAATGATGAATCATCTCATTTTGGGGTGAACTTGTTCTGTTGTCATGCCCATGCAAGCACGCCTGATATCAGGAATAACAAAGAAATGTTCAGCATATATCTACATATGATAAGAATCAGCAAACTGTGATGTTGTTTGCTCTCTCGGTGTCATTTAGCATGGCTTTTATCAGCAACAGGACTAGCCTGACAGAAATTCACTGAACAATTGTATGATTGAGCAGTGTATTTGTGTTGAAACTTGCATTGATTGTGAAGTGAAAGTCTGATTATAACTACCCTCACTGCTTGGTAAATGTGTTTTATGGCAGCATGAAATACTGGAAACTAAACTCACAAATGATTTAAAAATATGTAGTGTTTGTATTGGAGATCAGGAGGGAAAAAAAGTTATTAAAGGTCTCTTTTTGTGTCCCATCTGTATCTCCACATGCAGTGGTGCCTGGAGACTGTATCGGCGGGTGGCCCAGGGACCCCGCCAGACAGGTCAGGAGGCCGTGAAAGTGACGTCTGAGAGCCCCTCCCCTCCCCTCACGGTCCATCTCAGCAACACACCCTCCACGCCCCCACGTAGCCAGCACCACCATGGCCAGGGAACAGCTCAGTGTGGGGGACTTGCTCCCCCTCCTGGAGACCTCTGATCTCCATCAACTTGAAGAAATCAAAGGTCTCATCAATGAACACCTCAGTACAGGTACTAGACACAGGACACTTTACCATACCACCGTGTACCTATAAGTTTTTATTTTTGTAAAATTATTTAGACTTGTATTTGTCCTTTATTTTGCCGTATTAATCCAGTATGTTTTGCTAATTTGCCCATATCTTTTCTTTAGGATTGACATTTGAAATGTGTTTTGCAGAGCGAGGATCTGTGCTCCTGAATGGCTTGGTGGATTACTTCTTGGAGACCAACTCGACCCAAGCTATGCACATCCTGTGTTCAGTGAGAGAGCCGCATGACAAGGTCAGGAACTGCTTAGAATGCCTCACATGCCACAGACCTCTCTGAGTGTCACTGCTGAGGGATGCTGTTTTGTCATTTACAGCTTGTGGAATAAGTTATAGATCAGGAATGGTCATTTCAATCAGTTTTGATATTTGAATTTGTAAGGTATTATTAAAAAATATTTGAATAATACCCCCTCCACCCAAAAAAATAAAAGGCTACTGCGTGGTGGGTAGGCAGCACTAGAGACAGTGATGCCACTCAGCATCATACTATTGTTATTACTGTACTATACTAAACCCAGCCTCAGATTACGAAGCCATAGTGACAGACAACTTACACTTTAAGATAAACAGACAAATGTTAATTGTCTGTTCTCAACGTTACTAGCCTAGTAACTTCGTATTTCACACTGTGACTTTTAGCTCAAAGTTTTGTTTGTGAGTTAACTTAATAGATTTGCTAATTCACTAAATGATAAACTGAATGTTTTTTTCATTAAATCTGCATGAGTCGAGTGTAAAATGATCTTGCACTTCTTGTTCATCGGCTATGTGTGCTTATGTTGTGCTATTGTGCCACTTTGTAGTACCTGCTATCTTGTGCCAGAGACCCTTTGGTGCCACAGTGCAGAGCTTCTCCTCCAGTTTGTGATAGCGTTTAGATGGCTGCAGTAGTCTTTCTATGCTTCCATGTTTTGCACTAATCAGATCGTGAGCTGCAAACTCTGAACTGCCTTTTTGTGGAGTAGAGAGTTCAGATATGTTGTAATTCTTAAAGGAACAGTGTGGGGGAAAATCTATATTTCCACTCACCCCAATGTGGGCGATTGACCAAGATGTCCAAATTTTACTTCTTAAACATTGAGGCTAACAAACACTAAAACTCAAATTTTTTTTTTAAAGTGCACACCTAAAATGTCTTTCAAACTGCATCCAGGTCTTCATTAAGGTCATGCAGACTTGTCAATGTGGTTTAGGACACTGTTTGACTTGCTGTGAACTATACAAAAATAACAAAACTACAAGCAGCCATTTTAAACAATTGTATTCACAAACCACCTCAGGAGACTGAGTGCTGATCTAGATCAGTATTTGTAACAGATACTGTCTAAAACAGGGAGGAATCTAATCCAAGATCAGTCCTACTTCGTGAATACCAGCAGTTGTCTGAAATGGCTGCCCATAGTGGTAAGGTTTTGTTCATTTTTATAGCTCTCAGTAAGTCATGCTGTGCTCTGCCACACTGGCAGGTCTGCACAACTTTAATAAAAACATGGTTTGAGCAGACTGTGAGAAAAGTTTTAGGGGTTTATTTTTCACAGAAGCAGTTTGTGCTGCTTGGATGACCGTTGTGTTCTAGTGTTAGTCTCAAAGCTTCAGTTTTAAACTAAAGAACCATAGTTTGGACTTCAAAGATGTCTTGGCTGATGCATCTGGATTCAGTGGAACATGAGTTAAATTTGAATTTTTGGTTGTTTGTTTTTTTCCCCCAAACTTTCATGACTTGTCCTTCATCCCTGATCATTTTAGATGTGGACCCAATATACACAATCAAGCTATTTGTGGGTATCTTTTTTCTGTTATCTAAAGTACTGCAGTGCCCCTTGTATGCACTTCAGGAGGTGGGGTGCATGCATAGCCAGTTATGAAACATAACAGGGCTATCTCTCTGAGCTTAAACAGGGCTTCGCTGTGACGTGCTCCTCTGGTTCGTAAGGCACGCACACATAAGTCCTTGTTCAATTATTGGTTTCAGTTCAAGATACTTCAACTCTAACCTGATTTAAGAACATGTTCATAAACAACAAATAACACCAGCACGTACACTGTTATTTGTAACTTCAGTGTTCGATTTCAGTGTTGTAACTTCTGTCTTTCTCTCTTCTTCACTCCTTTGCCCTCAGCACCTGTTTGATAAGATGAACGAGTGCATGGCAAAGCATTCCTGTCGTCTGCCCACTCTCAACCTGCTGGGGCAAGTAGTCCGCAAGCAGCCATCCTGGATCCATAAGATCGCCCGCTACCCTCTGCTGCTCTCCCTGCTCAAATGCCTCAAGGTGGGCTATAGGCAACGGGTCTCACTGAGTACCTAGAAACTAGAAACTGTAGTACACTGACAGTGTCTCACACTTTGCCTATGTTTTACGTTTGTGAATGTTTTCTCTTTTTACAGACGGACACAGATGTTGTGGTTCTCATAACTGGAGTGCTGGTGCTTGTGACCCTGCTACCCATGATCCCTCAGGCTGGGAAGCAGCATCTCTATGAGTTCTTTGACATCTTTGGCCGCCTGGCTGCCTGGAACCTGAGGAACCCAGGTAAGAGAACAGGAAGGAGGATTGAACTTTGAGCAGCAATGTGGACCGACAGAGGGCATAAGACTGGGCATTTGGTTGCCTGTTTTAGACTGACCTTAGCTGACGCTATGTTCAAAAGTTTGTAGACACCTGCTTTCCCAATATTTATTGTGTTGTTTTCTGAAATCAAGAGTATTGATAGGGAGTTTGTCCCCCTCTTTGCTGCAGTAACAACACTCCAAACAACGCAGTTCCACTGCTTGACAGCCTGGGGGAAGGGGAAGGGGAAGGGGAAGGGGAAGCGGGGTTTGGTATTGGGCATGGTTACCTCAGGCTCATGTGCGGCTGCTTCAGAGTATCCCATTATTTGGGAGTGTTTTTTTTTAATGGATATTATAAGAAATATTGTGTGCAGTTTAACTGCTTTTGTACAGGTGCATATGCAAATACATAAGAGTGTATTACTTATTGTTTTGTTTATTAAGTTTGTCTTGAGTTTTGTTGGTCAAATAAGCTAGTCATTGAACACTGCTGAGCTCTGGGGAAAAAAATCAGGAAAAACATTCATGTTATGGAGTACTATAGGCCTGGGCGATAGGCAGATGTAGTGGGATATCGTCAATGATGGACAGGTAATCCGATGGCAGTGTGTAAAAGGCATTAATCGGCATTTTGGTAAAACAGCTGATAGAGAATTAGAAAGGACTAATTTACTGTTACACCACTTTAAAAATACATTGGATAACTGGGCTCACTCGCGCACTAGTAGTCGATTTCTCACACACACACACACACACACACACACACACACACACACACACACACACACACACAGATGGAGAGAGACAGACAGACAGAAAGGGGGAGAGAGGCATTTCTCTCTGCTATGCACTGTAATCCTAGCTTTACTGCATGGATTCCTCCTTAATTTACTTTACATGAATGGAATCGAAAATAAATGGGGACATGCTTTGGAACTGAAGCTTGTCTCACAGTGACTCGCTGTAGTTAAAAAAAAAGAGCTAAAATGACTGAAAGTTAGCGCAGGGCAACAAAGTTAACTCTAACCTGAAGAGAAAGCTCCTCTGATCCTTGTCTATGGCCAGTGTGCAGTATTTTCTGTACAGATTAAGTGTCCCGTTGGTTGGCTGAATTATGAAAACGCCACTGTAATGACAGAAAACAACTTGTTTTTAATGTAGAAAGCACATGGACCTGGCTATGGTAACTGATATTATCTATAATTGTGATTTTTGTAACTAGAAAATATCGTTTTAGTTATTTTTAGATGTCACCCAGCTCTAGAGCACCGTGAACAAAAACACTATTAACTGAGCAAATATTCAGTGCTCTAAATTAGTCTTAGGACACACTCAATTTATGTCTTGCTTATTTGTTACTTTCCAACCTAAAATTATTATTTATTCATTTGTACTCTTTAAGAAAATAACAACAACTAGCAGTAATGACCAGATTTCCTAACTGAAGCTCAAAATTATCCTGGTGAATAACTGAACTTAAGAAAGGTAGTAAAAATGCTCTAGAATTAGTGGAATAAACATGTTTCTTTCCTGGATATTGATTAGTATTTAATATTTTATGTAGGTTAGTATTTTGTTGCATATCCTTTCTTTTGGATGATGAGCTTGAAGTCGTCTAGGCATGGAATGCATGAGTTTACATGACTGGTGCTCAGCCAGCTTGTTGGATGTTCTCTTTTGGATGGTCAGAGTGTGTCAGTGGACACTTCAGGTCCCTTTCCGTGACTTCAGTACATTTTTCAAAATTGATTATACAATTTTGATTAGAATTTTCACTTCTTCCTTCAGAGATGTTTCTTACCAAGAGACAATATTTTTTTGACAGGTAAATTCAGCTCTAGATTCAGGGTTTCTAAAGCAATATCTTTCAGAATGTAAGTGATATTTTAAGTCAGATATTTTGGATGGTGGCTTTACAGAAGCAGTATTGGAGATCTCTGGTCTGAACACACATGACGTGTGTCTGTATTTGGATTAGTGTCCCAACAATTTTTTTCTATAAGTAAAATGAGGGTTAGGTGAAAGTTTCCTAGTTTGCCTTTGCTCAGGTGGACCAAAAGTATTGATTTAAGTTTTACCATAGCTGAAATTCTTTACGTTTGAATATGGAGTATTAAAATTTCCGTAATTTGTTAACAAATAAAGTAATTATTTTGATTTATTTTAAATAATTTATAATTTAAAAATGGAGCACAGTATTTTCAAATATGCTGTTCTATGTTAACCAAGGTTATCTAAAACAATAGCTCTGTCTGAATGATGCAGAATATGTCCTAGTAACCTATAGGACCTATTATTACTTATATTTGGAATAGGTGTAGAGGTATTTTTGTTTCATACAACCAAATAACAAACAATTCAAACAAGTGAATGTGCATCAGTGTGAGTTGTTTTTGTCTTTTCTGGCTCGCAGGACACGTTTCAGAAGTGTACCTGATCCACCTACATGCTAGCGTCTATTCACTCTTCCATCGCCTTTACGGCATGTACCCCTGCAACTTCATTTCCTACCTGCGCTCACATTACAGTATGAAGGAGAACATGGACACATTCGAGGAGGTTGTTAAGGTAGGTAAATTTCTTGTGTATGTAAATATGTAAGTTTGGTTTATCTGATCAGTGCTCATGCTTGGCTGGATGAGTGACACTTAAGACCTGCCTCATGCCTATAACCTCAGTCTAGATCAAAGCATTGAGTTGTTTTTTGAGAAAAGATGCAAAATATGGGCAGAAATGTTAAAGGGGAATCCCATATTTAAAAAAAAACAATTTAATCAAATAAAATAAGCAAAATAATTCAAACTATTTTGATCGAAAAGGCTGCATTGTGAAGACACTTACCAGCTTCTTTACAGTGGTGGTGATAGGAACCAAAGCTTGTGATGCCATCAAAGATTTATTTGCCATCCAAAGCAACCAGCAAGAGTGCACATTGTATGAGGTTTTATATGTAATGCTAATGATGGTTTAAAAAAGTGATCATTTTTACAAACATTTATGATTTCTTTGAGTACTTTTTTTCCCCTGCACTGCCGTGCATGTACTTCCTTGCTAGGAATGGATTTAAACATGGGATTGTAGTTTGAAGTCTGATCTCAAAACTGATAAAGCGGTATCTTATCAGGCAGCATATTTGTTACCATTTTGTGTAATAGCTTTTTTAGTTTATATATAGTGCAAAATATATTTATTCTCTCATTGGATGAGCCTTGATTTAGAGGCATTAAATGCTTAATGTTTCAGATGTCTGGTTCCTGTCACTACTGCTATGAACAATTCTGACTCCCCTAGAATGGCACGTTTGATATCAAACCACTCTAAATGACTGAATGGCATTTTAACCATTTAAGTATGCAGAACATTTGACAAAATAATGGAGTTCCTTTTTAATGAATAGTTAATTCTAAAAATAATGATGTTAGTTATTAAATATTACACTGCACATATTTGTGAAAATGATCTTGCTCTTGCTTGTTATAACACACTCCCTCTCGTGTTCTATTGCTTTTATACAACAGTTAAATAAATAAAATAAGAAATAAATAAACTGGGCCGTGAACGTGGCATTTAGTATGTATTAATGTTAGCAATTCCTTCCACCAAATTATAGTTCCTTAACAAGCTTGTTGCTACGTAACGAACTCCGCTCACTCGCTGCACAGCCAGCAGTTCGTTCTCCAGCTCCTTAGACTAAATTACGAAACTGTCATTACCGCTGAGCAGTTTTTCAGTTGGCAGCTCTGACAGAAGAACACCTAAACAACCTGGAATCAGCCAGAAATTAACCGAATACCATTCGTCGAACGTGTAGTCTCGTCTTCAGAGTCTGACCAAATCGGCTGTCGGTCAAATGTGATCTTTAGGGTATCCATTCTCTTTTTTTGTGCAAAGTAAGAAGTAAAAACATTCAAATGGCTTGAGAGTCTCCCACAGCTGTGAAAGTCGTTGCTTAGCAATGGTGTCTCAGCAGAGTGATACAGTGATTGTGAAAAAAAACGTGCTGTTATGGCGAAATAACAGCACTGATAGAACGCTCCTCAACCAATCAGCTTGCGTGGCCAGAACTAACTGTTGTGTAATATAAATTCAGGTATGATTCAGTTCTGTTTTCAGGAGCTTTTGTGTATTAGAATGTAAGATCAGACTAAAATTATCAAGGTCTGAATACTTTTAAATTACTCAAACTTTAAGTCCTTTCTACCCTTCAGCCGATGCTGGAACATGTTCGCATGCACCCAGAATTAGTGACTGGAACAAAGGACCATGAGCTTGACCCTACCAGGTGAGTCTCTCTTGTATTGTAACAACTTGTGTTGTCTTTAAGACGTAGCAACAATGTTCAGCTACATCACATGAGCCTGATTCCTTTCATCCTTTTTTTCCATTTTTCCCTGCAGGTGGAAGAGATTTGAGATCCATGACATTGTCATTGAGTGTGCCAAAGTGTCTCTGGACCCCAGGGAGGCATCCTGTGAGGAGGGCTATGCCACCCTGCCTGAGCACTTCTGTGGCCAGCTGCACTTACGCCCTCCTGATTGCACCGCCAGCCCTTACACTGACTTCCACAGCAGCTATGGTACAACTATTACACTTTCTGATTGGCTTGTTCCATTTCTCTCTTTTACTGCTTCTCTTTTACCAGCATCACTTGGTCTGTGATGAAATGAATTCTGTATGATGCATTTGCACCAGTTATAGTAGGTTGGACAAATTGACTGTAAACATTAATTTAATAATAATAAATAATAATAAACATTAATTTAACTTAAAAGCAGCCCTTTGAAGTGTTTATTCTTTGAATATTTATCATGGAATGATCATACAAGTTTTATTTTCATACCAGGTTTGTAATATTTCCTTACAACAGCCTCAAGATATATTTCTGTTTCTGCAGGAAGTTCATCCTCGAGTCAGTTCTATACCCCGCGGCAGCCTGTCCTCCCTCCCCTCCCCCTGGCATCTCTCTCAGGGACCCAAACAGCCTATCGCAGCCCCCCCAGCACCCGCCGACCGGTACGTTTACTAACCTCCACCTTCTGCTAAAGCAGGGGTTCTCAACTCCAATCCTAGAGACCCACTCCCCTTTACAGTTTGACCTGCCCCAACACACTTGAACCTCAGGTACTTGTCAGGCCTTTCATGAGCTGGGTGAGGCGTGTTGAGGTAGGGAAATTCTGTCCCCAGTGCTACAGAACCGTTGTGCTAGAGCCTACTAGTAGGCTGGGAGGACTTAATTTCTTTCAGTGGTTCATAATCCATAAGTCCGTAAGAGTGAAACAGATACTTGGTTAAAGGAATGGTTTGGTAAATCATCAAATTCACACAATTTCCCACTCCCCTCAGATCAGGTGAATCAGCTAAGACATGTTTGTAGTCCAAATTTTGCTTCATTAGTTTAGTGCTGTAGGCAATAAGCTAACATGGAAATCAATAGTCCTCATCCAGATCTTAGTCATGCAGTTACAGTTTAACATATGATGTGATGTGGTTTAGTATTATACACAGTAGCTATAGACACAGTTTAGCTCACTGTGAGTCACAGAAAATGAGCAGAACTACACTGTGTAGCTGAACGCATCCCATTTTACATCCACTTTTCTGATTTCCTTTTGTGTGCCTGCAATTTCTGCTGTTCGTTTATTAGTAACTGTTAATGTTAATTGTTACACTGTTAATCTTAACTGTTAAATTGAACATTTTCAAACTGAAGCTATGTGTGTGTATGTATGTATGTATGTATGTATGTGTGTATATATATATATATATATATATATATAGAGAGAGACAGAGAGAGAGAGAGAGAGAGAGAGAGAGAGAGAGAGAGAAAAACAAACAACAAAAATCAGTAATGGAATCTGGAATCTCCATATCTTTATGTGAAGTACATGTATGTATATGTACGGATACTTGAGTATCAGATATCAGTATTGGTATCATAAGGGGAAAAAGTGGAATCAGTGCATGCCTTATTTTGGTATCAATATGTGCACTTAGGTTTTCCTCAGAGCTCTGCATGTGTAGTCCTGCAGGCCCTATTTTTATTTTCCTAGGGATTTTTATCTGCTTAACCCTTCATCCACCATTTGGAGCCAAACAGCACCAGATCCAACCGAGCAGGCACTCCAATGCGATTCAGATTAGATGATCGGGATAATCAGACTTTTTCACTCTACTTCCACTCAAGTTAAACTAGTCCAGATACTTTTCTCTTGCCTGCAGATACTTTGGGTTGCTCTCCATGGCTTGTGGAGAAATTGGTTAGTTGTTACTGTGCCTCTTCTCTCAGTTCTTGTTGTTTTCCTTCCAAAGAGTGTTTACTTATAATGAATAGGCTGTGTCAGTCTCTGTTCGTAAATAACCCCCCCCCCCAGCCTTTCACGAAGTGCCCCCCCCCCTCCTCTGTCGAGGAGCTTGAACTGTTTGAATCGTTTCCTTGTTCTCCAGCAGTCAGGCAGAGGTAAGGGGTGGGCAAGGGGGCTGCAGGCAGAGGGGAGCAGAGGGAAGAGGAGCTGAAGGGTGAGGAGAGATGTTGAGTCATTGGGGTGGGTGTGCAAAGATTTAAAAACAGAAAAACACACCATCCACGAGCTGACGCAGGAGCGGTTGCCGTGGCAATGCGGCTGACGCTGGTACTGCTTTCCCTCCTCTCCCGGTAGCCCACCGGCTGGGATTTTTATTCTGCTTAACCCCTCATCCACCATATGGAGCCACACAGTACCAGATCCATCTGAGTAGGCACTCCAGTGCGATTCAGATTAGATCAGATCGAGATGATCAGATTGCAACAAATTGGCAAGTTATTGTGTTTGCATGAGCGATCAAAATTGGCAAATTGCATTTTTATCAGAGATGCACAGACAGGGTCCCATTATTGGTTATGGCAAGGGTGTTCAACTCTGGTCCTGGAGGGCCGGTCCAGCACAGTTTGGTAACGTAACTACTGAAACCCACCCTGCGGACATGGCAATTAACAGATGAGTTGAATCAGGTCTATATAACCAAAGCTGTACTGGACACCAGGCCTGCAGGACCAGAGTTAAACACCCCTGTATTATGGATTAATTGTACGGTTTAGGTAAATAGGCAGTTTATTAAAGCAGTCAGGCCCAGATCATCCCATGGGTTTTATGGGTGCGTGTCCAAGGGAAGCTCCTACAAGCATTTGCCACAAAATTTAAACAGCTGCTTTGACTTGCAGTGGGAAGTTTACTAGCAGATCAGTGAAAAAAATGAACTAGTTTCAACCTTGCGGCAGATCATAATCTTGACGCTCTCAACAACATTTCTAAACATCAACTTCCTTTTTTCCCCTCTAATCACTGTTTAGCAACCGTTCCACTATCCTTTATTAACTTGGCCAAGTTTTTGTTTTGTTTTTGTTTATTTATTTATTTATTTTTACTTTAAGCTAGCATGCCTTTTTAAATGTTTTTTGAAGCACCAGATATACAAAATAGGTGTCTGAGGGATCTGTAAAAGCAAGACCTGAAACTTCAGATTGGGTAGAGGATGCCCGTTTTCAAAGGCAAACACAAATAATGTCATTTATTTCTTCTTTGTAACTTGCAAATAAACTCACAGAAGAAGACGTGACGTAAACGCAATGTTAAACTCAAAGTTAATGCTGCAGCTTTTTTTAGATTTAAAACCTTCATTTCATCAAGCATGTAGTTGGTTTCAGCCTCACTCCAAAAGTGTTTCGCTGCCATCTCGCGGCAACGCTGGGTGCTTATTTCCGGTACTGCGGTCTGTTTTCGCACATGTGCAGACTGAGAAATCCGAAAGAAATCCGAGTAAGTGTTTACATGCACTGGGAAATCTGATTACTCTAAAACTAAAATCCAGCTCTTCGGATTTCTTAATCGGAAACAATGACAGTGAATCTAGGCGAGAGACTGTATGAAAAATTAGGGAAGCCTCTTACAAACCGCTACACTGTGTGGGAATAGTTGGTATACATCTCTTTTGGGACCATGTTTGCACTGGCTGGGTTTGTTCATGAACCAGTTTTTGTCACTGGTGATGTGATTAGGGCTTTTTATAGTGCCTATTTGCTATGATTATATTCTAAATTCTGCTTTTATTTCTTTAAACAGTACTGAAGATTTTGTTGGTTTGTGCTTGTTGACTCCAAAGATAGACAATAAAAGCAGAAGTGGTGTCAGTTGCAGACTCAGTGTGTGCAAGGGATGTGCAGGCAGTAGTAACTAGTACAGCATTCTAATGCCTAGAAATGAAAGGTGCAGTTTGGTGCATTTTCTTTAGCCTTGTCTTTTCATCTTTTATCAAAATTGTGTTTGTGTGGTCTTCAGAACTCCAGCTGTGACTTCAACTCCACCTATGGCATTAAGGACACTCTCTGGAGTCCCTCCTCCCTGTGTGGTATGGCCACTCCCCCGTCATCAAGGGGAATGTCGCCCAACCCTGAGCTATCACAGAGTGCCTTTCACCTGTCTGGCCGCTTTCACAGCACTCCAGGTAAACCGACGGTTGGCTAGTCCCGTAATTCTGAATTTGATTCATAATTTCCATGTAATTTAAATGATATTAATTGTTTTACTTAAATCAGGTGTTCTCTTTGTTATAGCTGGTGGTAAAGGTACCCCATGTTCTAGCACCCCTGCAGCATCCTCTCCACCCCCCAGTCTCACTGATGAGTTGCCCTCTGCGTCTCTGCCCCAAAACACGTCCAGCCTGACGTGCAAGGTACTCTACTTTTCTGAGTTTGCCTTTCCATTTCTAGTGGTAAGCCAGTTTACATTTCACCTTTAGAACTGGATTAATTTTTGGACTAGTTTTGTTTTATGGAGATTATACTAGCTGTGCATACTGAATTCACTAATTAGAATGGGTGTCTGGGTAATTTTGGAGTATAGGTCTAAAGGTTGGGTTGGTGGTGAGTGGTGATGTATTGTCCTCTTTAGTCTTGCAAGGTTTCTTAGACTAATTCTATAAGCCATATTTACAAAGTATTAGACAGTCACTCCTCATTGGCAGCACCTTAATGGGTCCATTGTGCTGGCATCTGACACTTGTAGTGTTTTAACTTGGTGTTCCTCTTTAGGATGGTAGACCTGTGGAACCCTGCAAGCCCCCCCTTCTGAGACAGGAACCAATCAGAGAGCTTGAGAAAGCAGGGGGTGAAGTGACCAACCACAGAGGTTAGAAAATCAAAGTGACTTTACAAATCTGTCGGATGACAAATCATGCAATGTAATAAGGACATGTATAGCATTGAGGTATTTGTGTCTAGCAGTGAGATTTGCTAAGTATTTGTAATCAGAATAGAAGTATTTGCAGCGCTGTACTCCTTGTGCAGTAGCTTTGCTGGTAGAGCAGAGTGGATGATGGTGAGATGTTTGCCATGGATTGGTTGTTTGTTAGACATGACTTGGCTCTTTTGTCCTCTCTCTGAATCAGATGGTGAGACTGAGACTGTGTCCATGACGCTGACTGAGCTTTCGGTCTACATTAAGGAGCAGGAGCAGCTGCGGATGGGCAAGGAAAGGGAGGAGGGTAGGAACAAGAGCCAGTCATCCCTCTTCAGTATTAGTCATTTTTTTATCCTTGCCAGAAAGTGGAGTCTTTGCAGCTTGTTGTTAGCTTCTTTTGAATGGCTGTTAATGATCACCAGCTGTCTGTTAACAATTTACTGTAAATGGTAAATCCTGATCATAGAGCTGGAAATTATGACCACAAATCTAGTCTCACTATATTTTTACATGTTTTGTTATTATATGCATTTTCTAACATCAGTTTTTAAGTTTAAATAATCCTTTGAACCCTGGTTTGTGCTGTCAGGAGTGAATGGCTAGACTTCTACCACGCCGCCTAGTTTACGAAAGTAGTAGGTGTTCAAAAGTCATGCCATTGTTTCTAATTCTGAATTGAGGAACCAAATGTCATAACTGTACCCAAAATAGCTCAAGGATATGTCAAAATGTTGGACTTGGATCATTTTTATTATCATTTTATCAACCAGCACTCATAAGTTTTAGATAGAAATAAGAGATGAAAGATCTGGCATGAACCTGCGTTTTACCATGTGCTGTATCTCCTCCACAGCTGCCATAACAGAAGAGCTGCTGAAGCTGACAGAGGAGAAGCGTGACCCCAGTGGACTGAGGGGCTTTGACTCACCCTTCTACCACACCACAGAGACTCTCACAGGGGCCCAGGAGAAACCCCCGTCCACCTCCACCCAGAGCAGCCTACTCAGAGAGACCAACAACGTTGTCTCTACACCCGACAAGACAGACACCCGAACCGGGCGTAGAGGCATGGGCAGCCGCGGCCCGTCCCAGGAGCAGCCATGGTCCTTCCAGCCAGTCTTCACTCCCATCGAGCACCCTGCTCTCAGCCACGTCCGCCATAGCCCTACTACGGACGACGAGGCGCTCAAATATGGTGCACTCCTCTCGCCCAGCCCCTGCAAGGCTCCCTCACTTCCCTATGAGTCACTGTTTGACCTAGCCCTGCCTCGCGCTGCCTCACTGTATGTGGGACGCAGGACCTCGGAGGTGCTAGAGAAAGTGACGGCCGAGGGCAGGCCGGGGGAAGTGGGGGAGGGGGAGGATGGGCTTGTAGCAACTTCCGCGTCTCCTCTTGAGGTACTTGATCGTCTCGTGCAGCAAGGGAGCGACGCCCATGACAGGGTGCTAAAGAGGTGAGGACTCAGTGTTTCAAATTTACAGTGCTCAAAACTAAAATCAACAAGCAGTGGGGATTTACCACATTTCTGGATATTTGTTCATATTTTCAACCAAATTAACTCAAATTTAGAAGAACTATTCCTCCCTTTTAGAACTATTCACATGGGCTGGGAAAATACGGCTAAGAAAGATCAATAAACTGATACAAAATTATCAATAAATATTGATACATTGGTTATTTAAAACCATGGATGTTTTACGGTAACTTTCAGTGTGTTTAGGACGGTTTCTGTTTGTGCTGGGGGAGCAACAGTGCCTTAAAGGGGAATTCCACCACTTTTTCAAAATTTTCCCTAAAAGGTTGAGAAGTAATCAAATCATTCAGAGCAGTCTGATACAAAGTGGTTCATTCTAGGGAAACAACTCTTAATTTTTTTTATTTTATTTTTTTCTTTTTCTTTTTCTTTTTCAGTAATGGTTTTACAAACCAGGGGTCTTGATGCCTGCAACACAAATACAGCCATTTTATTTACTGTCCAAAACCACCAGTGAACCTACAAGTGTCCTCTGAGTTTTAATATGTAATGTTGATAAGTGTAAAAAAAAAAGAACAGTGTCTTTAGAGACAGTATTGCTTTACAATGCCCTGCATGTGTCTCTCCATCGTGAATGAATTTTTAGAAAAACATTTCAGGCCAAAACCTTCTCACTATCAGAAAACAATGTCTCAGGCATCAGGCAGCGTATTCATAAGAATTTCATACAATACCTTTTTGTGAGGGAGCTTTTAGAGGTGCACATCTGGTTCCTGTCACCACCACTGTGACCAATCCTGACTCGGACGGAACAGAGAACCGCTCTGAATGATTTTGTTTACATCTTAGCCATTTAATTATTATATAATAATAAAAAATTATTGGAATAAGTCATAAGTCCTAATTTTGCAGACCAAAAAGAAAAACACATGAAAACAAGGCAAGTTTTTTGAAAATGTACATGTTAACAGTTAACACCAATGCCATCTTTCACATCAGAGCTTATGGCTTCTTGTTTGTGTGCTCTTTTTTTAATACTTGGAGCTCAGAGCTGAACTCAATCATGAACACACAGCTCCTACTTTTTAGAGTTACAGCTGTGAGTTGGTGGTGAGAGGAAGTAAATGAACTAAATTGAGGACTGGTGTTTCAGAACACAAATCAGAGCACAGAAGCTCACACTTATAAAATGGAAAGAAAAGACTAATAATTGTACTTTCTGACTTCTTGGCCATTAACCATAATTATCAATAAATCCATAAATCCCATCCCAAAAATCGACTATTATTTTGGGCAAAATTTGTCTTTTTCTTCTATTGAGCCAAGCGAGATAGCAGCTTAGAACTGGCCAGCACTCTAGAATTAATTACAGTGCAACTCAGCCAAGACCCATGAAAAACTGACCAAAACCTCAAAAGCATACTTACTCATTTTCTGTATTGACAATATATTTTAAGCCAAAATGTTAATTCTGTGTGGCATTGCTCATAGATGTAGATGTTATTTGTTTAAAAGTGCTGCGCTGATCATGCTGTAGGACTGTGAACAAAAACCGAGTTAAGCCCGTTACAGGCTCACTGTGACCTGTCTTCCACTCACACTGAAACAACTGCAGCCTTTGTCCTGATCTTCCTACGCTGGCCCACAAAACAGCCAACTGCTCAACAGCACCAGTGTCCGCACAGAACAAACAGAGCTTCTCTCTCTCTTTGCTCCATCATTCACTCACTCTTGCTCTCTTCCTCTCCATCTATCTCTCTCCCATTCTCCATAGCTGAGTAATTTAATTGGACTGGAGCTGGGCTTGTCCAAGCTTAGGTGTGTCCAGGCCTGGGTCAGGACTCAGTGCCAGACCAGAAGGGTGCTTAATATGCTGTCACATTGTTGACCCCGCTGATCCTCTCGTTTATATAATCTTTTTCAGATTACCCCTGCCAAGCAAGTCAGCTGATTGGACTCACTTCGGAGGTAAACAACATTATGCCAGTGCACTTCTGTTAACTTGCGAGGAAAACTTTCAGCAGAACTTTCAGAGTACAGTCTTTCCTAGTGTGTTTTCTGCTGCAGGCTAGTGCTGCATCCTCCCAGGATCTGATGTGCGTAAAATGTGTTGATACTTTAGGACTGTGAGATGTTATCTTATTGTCCGTATCATCAGACTCAGACATACAAGAAACAACAGGAAATGGTGGGGTCAGCACAAGTCATTACTTTTGCATGCTCTGTTTTAGAGAAAAAGAAACCCCATTCTAATGGGGATGGGCAGGAATGCACTGTTGTCATTTTTCAAGGATGCTTCATCTGCTGATTCATAATAAAGCTTTTTCACTGGAAAAAATGGCTAGTTTAGGTACATTTACCATGTCCCTGTGCTCTTTGGCCATTTTATCAAGTACATCAACCATATAAGTGCAGTGTATAGGCATATAATTATTTACCATAACTCATCCATTTCTGCACAACTTGTCAATCTACCTCTACCCCAATCAATGAAAAGGGAGCACCATAGGACCACTACTGACCAGATAGTATTTGGGTAGTGGAGTATTCTCAGCACAGCAATGTTATAGGTATGGCAGTGGCATAGTGAGTGTGTATCTGAAGATAGGTGTTTCAAGTAAAATGGCCAATCAGTGTAGGCACAAGGTAGGTCTACCAAGTAGATTGAGAATGACAGAACACAGAAAAAAAGCTATTTAATAATAATTACAATTGATATACAGTGCAAAAGTCAGAGACCCTTTAATTTATTTAATTACCACTAAAAACAACGATTAAGTACAAGTTTTTTATCAGACCTTAATGGTTGTTTTTAGTGCTTTTAGATGTATCGGCCCATAAATCCTTGACAGCTACATGTCCTTTCAGACTCATAGGGTTAAATTGTCTTCTCACAGTGGAAGGATGGACAGAAACACCTGTGGATTTTTTCAGATTTGAAGCAAGAGTGGAGCTTGATTTTTCTCCTCTCTCTCAAAGATGAAGTATGGCTTATTTGATGCTTTTTAAAAAGTTTTTGAACTCCACTTTTGAAACTTTATTTTTTTTTCCCCCTACTTACTTAGCAGACAAATCTGCTAAGAAATTAATAACTTGTGCTTAATGGTCATTTTGACTTGAAATTAAAATACGAGGAGTTGTTTCTGACTATTGCACAGGACTGCGTATAATAATAATAATAATAATAATAATAATAAACGAAGTTTGTGCTTGATCCTTGAACATGAGTTCTCTAGTGGAGAGAGAGTGGTGCTAATGTTTCTGAATAGGATGGGGCCTCTGGCAGTACCATGGCCTCTACTCTAATGACAAACAGATGATGACTGTGGTGGGGAACAACAAAACACCATATCCTGCTGGCAGGGTTGACTATCTGAATTAAATACGGCCCTGCAGTTATGTAAGTTATAGGAGTCATGTATTTGTGATTGTGTGAAGCGCTGTGCTGGAAGAGGCTGTGTTCTGTGTGCTCAACAACAGCAGGTCTCAGCACTCGTTCGTAATGGGTTGAACTCTGTATCTTGCCTTTCTCTCCTATCATTCCTGTGTACAACTTACTCTCCCACCATTCTGTTTCCTCCTTGTTTTTCTTTATTCTCTTTATTTTTCCTCTGTCCTGTTTTCCTTCATCTTTCTTTATCATATGAAAACCCATTGTTCTGCTGTTTCTTTCTAACCTTTTTTGTGGTTTTTAACTATTTCTATTCTCTCCCTCTCACTCTCCCTCTCTAGGCTCTGCTCCCCTGGATGAGTTGCAGACTCTGCGCAGTCAGTTGCTGCTGCTGCATAATCAGCTGCTTTACGAGCGCTATAAACGCGAGCAGCATGCTGTGCGCAACCGGCGCCTCCTCCGCCGCATAATCAACGCCACGGCGCTGGAGGAGCAGAACAACGCATTGGTAACCACTTCAGACACCAAAATCATACTCAACACGCTACATGAAAGCCTTCCTGTATGACACACACATTCAGCTTCAGGGTGTTTTCCACCAGGGGTTTCTGTTCCAGTGTTGATGACACTTTTTCCTCAGAATTTGTGAACAAAAAGACCTGCAAAATAATTTTAAGAGCACAAATCAAAAGCCTATATTGTGTTAAGTGTAAGTTACGTATGCAGCTGTGGTTATTTGAGTAGTGGATGACCACTGTCATGTTTCGTATCTTATGACTGCTGGGGCGATTCTTATTAAGTAATGGGTTAACTTGGTGTGGCAGCTGCAGACTGAGAAAGTATGCCAAACAGTTACCTTGTGACACCAGCGCATCAGGCCTATATATACTCGAGTCACACTGCAGTCTTCCATTGGAACTTGGTCTCTTCTCTCAGACTCCGAGCAATTGAGGCAATACTTGTGACATTGTGGGTATAAGTCATCCACTTACTAAGAACTGCCCTTGGCGGTCAGGAGATACAAAACATAACACTAGTTGCATAGTCACATATGTAACTGTGGTTATATGAGTAGTGGATGACTGCCAGGGGTGATTCTTACCAGGTGGATGACTTATAGCCACGTCACGAGGATTGCTTCAACTGCAGCACGTACCCGGGAACAGAGGACGTTGTGAAACGGGGAGAATGTGCACAGCGATGATGGTGTGGTCGCTGCACAGATGTCCAACAGAAAGACACCCTTCAGGGCAGCCCAGGAGGATGCTATGCCCCTGAAGGAGAGTAGAGTAGCTAGTAGAGGCAGGAAACATCTGGAAGCCTGTACACCAGCTTGATCACATCCTCTAGCCAGTGGGAGAGCTGCTGCTTAGAGAGCAGCAAACCCCATCTCGACTTAGCTCAGCTGTAACAGCACCATAGGTCCTCACAGTTGGGTCTGTCTGGGATCAGACGGTCCGTGTAAGCCACGAGGCTGATCGACTGATTAATGAACCCAGGGTTGAGAACTTTGGGTATGAAGGCCAGGTTAGGTCTCAACAAAACATATGCATCATCTAGGCCCCACAGGAGACACATAGGGCAAATGAAAAGTGCCTGTAGCTCACAGAAACAATGAGCAAAAAGGTTGTCTTTAAGGAAACCCATTAAAGAGCAGCCTGATCCAGAAGGGGTCCTTCCCTCATCAAGCAGGGAAACCACCACTTTGATGATGTACAAGAGTGGGTCTGTCCGGCTGTTTGAACACAAGTCAGTAAACGCCCTCCTTCTGCCCTCCCGTTGAGTGTGAGTAGAGGGGGCTCTGGCACTCAGGATGTTTCGAACCTCCAGGGAACGCAACGTCAGTTCAGAGGTAACCCTTAGGGCCACAGCCATAGCTGAATGCGCACTGGGCATAGGTGCAGCAAAGGAAGCCATGGCTGATAGAAGGGTATGCCAACAGTGCTGGAATAGGGGTAGTGGAGGGAAGGCATACAGCAGTTCCCTCGGCCACTCATGCGCCAGAGCATCCTGACCCAATGGGCTGTCCTGGGCTCACTCGGAGAACCGAGTTGGCGGGGGGGTCATGTTCAACGAGGCACACAGGTCCACCCGTGCCTCCCTGAACATCTGCCAAATCAACTCCACCACATCTGGATGCAGTTTCCTGTGGCTGTGGTTTAAAGTGTGACGTCTTGTTGTTTGTACCTGCTAGGTGTGCTGCTCTCAAGGCGAGATGAGCCTATGTCCGCAAGTGCCATGTGTGGTTTAGCAGCATGCGTGACCTGGTGCCACCGTAGCGGTTCACGTGATAAACTGCGAACAGGTTGTCTGAGCGGACGAAAACATGTTTCCCTTGCAGGGCTAGGAGAGAATATTCTACCGCTAGCCGGATTGCCTGCATCTCGACAAAGTTGAGATATTCCCGGGTATATTGTCTGGCCCGTTTGTCCTGCACCCATCTGCGTCGCCAGACGATGTCCCATTCATTGGTGGATGCCTGCTCTCAGGGCAACAATGCTGTCATAGACTGTGAGGCCTAAAGCCTGAGCATTGTTCGGTAGGTGTTGTTTCATGTGCTTGCTCTCGACAGGGAACATTGCATCATTTTCAGCCTCCAGTTCTGCTGGTCTTTACTGCTGCTGAGTCAGTGGTATAATGGTGCAGTTCATGCATAGGTCAGCCAAGCTTTGCAGAGGTGATCCAGTCCGAGGCAAGACAGGCTTAAGTCATGGTCGTCCTGTGGCTTGAGAATGTTAGGGCGTTGAGCACAGTTCCTCTGGAGGATCATGTTTTTAGCCACAGAAGCAGCAAAGGCTGTGTTAAATGATTGCAAACCTCACAACGAAGAGGTTTGAGGTGTAGTTAGCCTGAGTAAACAGAGAAGTAAAAGTAGTAGCCTGTATCCTGTTAGCCCTGTTCTGTAAGCAGTCGCTAAGGTATCATTTGGAGACCCAATGCGTTCACCTTGCGTGGTCTTCGAGTCAGGTGGGCTCGGCTACTCGAAGGTAGTGTGTAGTTCATAGCTGAAGTCAGCAAAGCTAGCACTGTTTGAGGAGGACCAGTGAGCTGTAAAATGTTGTTATAAAGAAAACAGAATTAGAATATGCCTTAAAATTCATGATTTGCGTATTAATAATATAAATGTAATGACTAAATAACAACTGAATACACTATTTGTTACATAATGAATTACACTTACATTAAATTTATATTCTGTATTGACAGGTACAAGTCTACACTTTTGTTTTTGTTCCAACTATGGCCAAAGTATAAAGGAATTTTCTTTTCAGAAAACAAGATTGTATGCTCATCAGTAATGTTTGAAGTTCCAATCACAAAAATTGTCGCACATTTTTCTATTTAAAACCACAAATATGATATTGAAATGATCGTTTAGTATCTATTTTCAGCAGAATTTCTCCGGTTGTGATGAAAAAAATTAAAAATTACACTGTGCTTTTGTTATCGACAGCATATCAGATAATAAGCCATTATTGACTAAGGTTTCCATTAAGTTCAGTGTGTGTGTGTGTGTGTGTGTGTGTGTGTGTGTGTGTGTAGAAGGACCAGCTGAATCTGCAGAATGTGGACATCACATCTCTGCGTGAGAGCCTACAAGTGGAACAGCAGCGCTACAGGCAGCTGTGGGATGACCGGGAGACCATGGTCACACGTCTTCACAGCCAGATCCGGCAGCTCCAGCAGAGCCGTGATGACTACTACACCAAGAACCAGGAGTTACAGGTACTGTTCTCAAACATGCTCACCAGTTCACACTAACCCTGGCCAATAGTTGATATGCAAATTGTCATTGTTTTCCCTTTTTTTAATATTTAACTTCATAGGCTATACAACATCTGTACAGAATGCAGAATATAACTGTCATTATAAATGATCAGTGGGCCCATATTATGGAAAACCAAATTTTCCTGTGCTGTCAAACTTTTTGGAATTAAGACTGAGATGTAGTATGTACACACTGTTAAAGTTTCAAAACATACCAGTCACTCCTCTGTTCGTAGAGTGTGTGTGTGTATGTATGTGTGTGTAAATGTTTTTGTGATGCCATCTGACTGTTGTATGATAAGGGTCCTTTAAATGATAATAGAAGTTAGCCCAGTTGGTAATTATATGACAGTTCAATACCCATCAGTGAAAATGCAAGCTATAGTGTAAGGCACTGTGATGCTCACTTGTGGTACTTCATAACTGAATTTGGTTCATGATATTGTTTCTTGCAGTAATTCTCCAGATGATAATCATTTTTTTAGGTTTTTCTACTAAGCTTAGTTCACAAATGCTGTATCATGTGTCAGATTGCAGTCCTGGCGGGCCACAACACTGCAGAGTTTGTCATTCTTTCTTATAAAACAGACCAGATTCAACCGATCGTCTAATTTGTAAGGCTTTTTATTGTTGGTGTGTGGTATGTAGTAAGGTCAGATGTCTGCTGGCATGTGGAAACTCAGGAGTTAAATTACCAGATTCACACCCACCCACACAGACACTATATGGACAAAGATATTGGGACACCTACACAAGCTTTTATGATATCCCATTCTAAATCTATAGACATTACTATGCAGTTGGTCCATGCTTTGCAGCTCTGACAGCTTCCACTCTTCTGGGAAACTTTGTACAAGATTTTGGAGAGTGTCTGTTGGAATTTTTGCCCTCTTTTGCCCTTTTGAACTCTTTAGTGAGCAGTTCAACAGATGATAGGCGCTGTGTGCTTCAGCACTCAGTGGCCCCACATTGTGAGTTTGTGTGGTCTGTCGCTTCGTGGCTAAGCTGTTGTTGCTTGTAGACACTTCCATTTCACGATAATAGCACTTACAGTTGACAGGGGCAGATCTAGCAGGGCAGAAATTTCACAACGGACTTGTGGCAGAGATGGCATCCTATGACAGTGCCAAGTGTAAAGTCACTGAGCTCATCAGTTTGACCCATTCTACTACCAGTGTTTGTCTATCGAGACTGCAAGGCTGTGTGCTTAATTTTATCCATCTGTTAGCAGTGGGTGTGGCTGAAACACCTGAACTCAATAGTTAGTTGGGGTATCCCAATACTTTTGTCCATGTAATGTATTTTTCCTACAGGTGCTTTAATGTTTATTATTTTTCATAAGGTCTGGTTGGGCTTCTGTCAGTACAGTGAGGCACTGAGATGGCTGCTGTGTTGTAATGCCATTGTTATGCCAGTGGCACATCAGGCAACACTTAACTATATTTAGCAGTGTGACAAGCCTGTGATAAGCCAAGAAATATAACCAGTGGTCGAGCTGACGGGCCATTCCAGTCCAGAGTGCTGCACAGTATAAACTCCTGGTTTAACTCACCAAAGGCTTGAACATTATATTTTAAGTTCATACAGGAACTTGGTAAACTGTGCATTTCCATTCCTGCTTTAGATTGTGAATTAACAGGCTTCCTGCCTCATGAAGCTGCAAATATAGTGATGTTGGCTAGGCTGTTTTAGTCTACAGTTTGAAATTTGAGTTATATCTATTTCATTCAGTTCAATTCAGCACTTTTTACAAATTACATTATTCACAAAGCAGAAAAGGTTTTGCAGCATTACAGTTTATCATTTTTCTGGTCCCAGTGTGGTGAAACTGACTAATTCACATGATGTGATTTATTTTTCTACTAAAAAAGGCTTGATTCATTTTGTTTTGTCATTCAGGGGTTGTGAGGAAGCAAAATACAGTTGTTGTAGTTGTTTATACTTGGACAATTACACACTCAAAACTGGGCAATGGCATGAGATTTTTAAAAATTCTTCATTTCTTATTTTGCTTTTAAAAAAAAATCAGCCTGTTTACCCCCAAACCCTGTGCAACCCTATAAAATCTTTTGTGCCTGAGTTAATATTGTGAATATGTTTACTGTTCTGTTGACTTTGCATATGTGCTTTCAGAGTAAGTTACAGGAGTGTCAGAAGAGGATGGGCGAGATGGAGGCAGAGCTACAGAGGGCTAATAACAAAGTGTGTCATACAGGGCACCAACTGAACCAGCTTACCGCCAAGGTAAAAAAAATCTATATATTACTGAGGTGAAGAAACTTTACTCTATAATAGCGAATTAGTTCTGTAATCAGAGTCATTCAGAGGGGTTTGATGTGATGGGGATAAATCCAAAAAATGTTTTTCTGCAGGGCCTATTAGTACTCCTGTATCAATCACTCACTCAATCAATCAGTCATCTAATTAGTTGGTAACAGTGGCAGTGTCTCAGGTATCAGGTAATATATTCATAACCATTCTTTGTGTGGGAAATCTTTGACTGTTTTTTTTTGTTTTGATGTATTGACATTAAACACTTCTGATGTCTGGTTCCTATCACCACCACTTTGAACAATTATGTCTCTGTGTGTCTTTCAAATGGAGCATTTCACATAAAACTGCTCTGAATGGCTTGGTTTACTTAATGATCAAATTATGCAGAAATTTTGAAAAATCTATGGAATTGCCAGTTTTTCCTGATGTCTGACGTCTTTCCTTGAAGGTGGCTTGCTTTTCTTTTTTTTCTGTTCATTTTTTCTTTTTTTCCCTTTTTTTTCTCTAGTTGTCCACAAGTGAGAGTACCCAGCAACAACTGAGTTTCCTGAGCAAACAGTTGCTATTGTTGGGGGAGGCACATAAACTGTGTGTGCAAGAGCTTCAGCAAGCTGGTCCAGACATCAGCAAGGTATGTGATAGACTGGCATTATACTGTATTTTAACTCTGGGTATGTATGTTGCACATGAGCTGTACAAGCAGCATTGCTCAGTCATCCGCGTACCTTTTATATATCTGGAGGACTGAGAGCTATAACCACTAAGTGGCACGGTAGAGCCCCACCACAGATTACTTGACTACTTCTGAATTTGCACAAATCGGAGGAGCAGACAGTTCAGTGGTTGAAATATGAATGGGATAGCTTGTAATGTTGAGCATGGCAAGTGTATTACAGGAAATCCTCCCTTTTAGTTAAAAATAAATAAATAAATAAATAAACAATTGCCATGTTGATAGAGAGTGGGAAAAGTTCCTCTTGTTGTCCCAAGAGCTAAGTGGATATATGCACATGCGTACTATCATGAAACACATTGAAATTTCTGTTTTTCTATGTTAAAAGACCACATTCATATTGTTCTATCAGTGATCAGTGAATGTTGTACTAGTGATGTCTAATGTGGTGGTCTGGTTACCACTGTGGGATCTGTTACTCATAATGCAATGCACTAGAAACTCATTTTTCTCCTTCTGCTTTCTGTCACACGATTGTTCACTCTTGCTCTGCAGGAGGTGCAGATGTTGCAGTTGTCCTGGGGGAAGGAAGTGGAGCAGCTTAAGCAGAGTCTACTATTGCAGGGCCAGAAGCTGGAGGCAGCACAGCAGAGAGTGGCTGAACTGGAGACACAGCTCTCCAAGAAGGAGCATCTGATCGCAGAGCAGAAGAAGTTCCTGGAGGACGTCAAGTGCCAGGCCAAGTATGGACATGCTTTCATTAACAGCACTGCAGCAACTTAGGAACAGAATTAAGTCCTCACTAAATTACTCTGTAACCATGTTTACATTTCATGCAAATGTAAATGTACCCAAGGCACATTTAAATCTGATCGCTTAGACCACTTGAGAAGGTGATCTGAGATGTATTTTATCCATATGCAAGTGTTAAACTCTCTAAGTCATGTTTGATAATCAGAACCTCTCCCAATGCATTATCTGGTCCACATCTCTGATGACTAATACAGACGAATTTAAGGGGAATAAACAGCGTCATGCAAGATTTTGCTTTTTGGGGCAGCAACCATCTTTTGAAAATAAAAATGCTGGAAACGAGTTATGAGCTATATCACGGACTATTTAAAGTCAGAGTTTAATCCAACTAACTAGAGGACCAGAGATGCGTTCAGCTACCACGTTTAAATGCATGTTGTCACATCAAATGGACGTGTATAAACAGGGACTGAGTTTTATCTGTTGTTTTTGTATTAGGAGGGTTTCATATTTATGAAAAAAAAATATTCCTGATGTTCAAATTGTGATTCTTAACTGAAAAAGAAGAGATCTGATTTCACATGCAAAGTTTAATGTGATCATCCACTGGGTGACAGTCAAATTATATCTGTTATTTTTATTTATTTATTTATTTATTTTTTTCAATTATAGCACAATTCAGAATCCATTATCTGCATTAAAGTTCAAGGACTTCCAGTTTCTGTTGATGATAATATGCAGCACAGTGAGCATGTGTGTCAGTCTTGGGCAGCTACGCATATTATTTAAAACCAGTTATGTGGCACCAAGTGTGCTTGTGCTTGTGGCACCATGCCATCACATGGATTTATTAAATATCATCAATAACACAAGATTGAACATAAAGCATTGATTAGCCAAACTAGATATTGGATGATAAATACAATTAATACTGGGCTGCCAAGAGGAGTGGTTTAGAAATGGTTAAACACATTAATGTACATAAAATCCCTGCTTACTGAATTAATATTATTTGTATTTATTGTATTGCAAATGTACTTGTACTGCTCAGATTAATTCCTTTTTAAATCTTATTTTCTCAGGTGCCTAATGTCCACGAACCCATGGAAACTGGGAACTATTATTTTTCTATGGTGCATTCATGTTTTGCCACACTGACCTTTGACGTTAAAGTTACTGACAGCATCTTCCTCTCTATTAATTTCTGTCTGTCTGTCTGTGTGTAGGGAGGAGCTGCAGGCGTCAGAGAGTAGGTATGAGACTCAGAGGCGTGTGACTCAGGTCCTGCAGACTGAGCTGCTGCAGCTCTATAGCAGGCTGGAGACGGAAGCCCCTACTGCCACTGCAGCAGCTTCATCTGTTGGGGAAGCCAAAGACCGCTGCAGCCCCCCAGAGACCAGGTAAAATGTCATCTGTTTGTTATTTCCTTCCACATGAACACAGGGCCCAGCTGTGTTGCACAAAAACTTTTGTTGTTTCTCATATTTTTTAAAACATATTTTAAATATTTATATAACCCTTTACATTGTGATATCACAATCATGAGTCAAAGTCCTGACTTGAATCCCATTGAGATGTTGTGGCAAGCCTTTATACAGGCAGTTGATGCTCAAAAACCCTCCGGTGTTGCCAAATTAAAACAATTCTGCAAAGAAGAGTGGGCCAGAATTCCTCCACAGCGATGTAAAAGACTCACTGCAAGTTATCATAAATGTTTGATTGCAGTTGTTAATGCCAAGGATGGCACAACCACTTATTAGGTTTTAGGGGCAATCACTTTTTCACTCAGGTGATATAGTTTTTAAATACATCTTTATCTTGACTAAATGTAATGATCATTTAAACACTGCATTTTGTGTTTACTTGTGTTGTCTTTATCTTATATTACAATTGGTTGGATGATCTGAAACATTTAAATGTGACACATTAGCAATAATAATAAAGAACAAGGATAATAAGGAATCAGGTGATCAGCAGATACTTTTTCATAGCACTGTATGGCACTGGTGAATGATAATTTTGTGTGTGGGTTCCTTTGTTTTGTTTTTTTTTTTGTTTTTTTTTTAGAAAATCTAAGAGATTGTTCCTTCAACTGATGTATTTTTTTTTTTTTCACCATTGCATTGTCCTATTGTACTCTCATAGTGTGATGGTGTTGGATGGACCAGTGAAAACAGCCTCCAAAGAGGATGTGGAGACGTCTCTGTCTCCACATGGTAACGGCAGCATTCTGCCGTCGGGTCAAGCCAAGTCTGTTAACGGCAGTCGAGACACCCCTCCCCCTGTGCTGGTGGAGCCGCCACCTCTTCGGCCGCATATACCGCTGGGGCCCACTGGACCCCCAGCACCCTCTTCAGCTGCACCCCTCACTGTGGGCTCCTACCCTAGCGCCAAAAGCTTCTTGGGCATGCGGGCGCGGGAGCTGTTCCGCAACAAGAGCGAGAGTCAGTGTGACGAGGGCGAAACCTTGCGCCCGCAGCTTACTGGCCTGTCGCAGGGCCTGAAGACTGAGCTCTGTGTAGAGCCGCCCAAAAAGACTGCATCTGGACCCGCCCTCACCACAGCGGCTAAAGAGGCCCAGACCCACAGCCTGCAGCGGGCCACTAGCCGAGAAGGAGGCGGGGCCAGCGGGACGCCAGCCCGGCCCAGGCAGCAACAGCTACGGATCATGGACTATAACGAAACACATCAGGAGCACAGCTAGAGAGAGAGAAAGCAAGTGAGAGAAAAGGAAGTTGGCTTCAGAGCTAGTAAATGGAGAAAGCTGCAAGCTGAGATCGGATTACGCAGGACTCTTTTGATTTCAGTGTTATTTGTCCCATTCCCTCAAGTGGACAACAGGATTTGGAACTGTTTTGTTCCTCGCCAAAAAACTGGAGCTTTGAAAGGCTTGGATATGAAAGACAGTGTTGCAAGGTCATCCCACGCAGAGTGTTACTCCGTGGGTTTATTTGGGCCCCCCCTCTGTATCCTTGTGAAACTCCATAAGGCTCATTCATTTGCCCTTACATCTGCTAAATTAGCAGTATGGTTTGAAAACATGATTGAGTCCCAGCTCGAGTCAGAGCAGAGCATCAGCCTTGTATAGGTCTCTAGTTGTATGAAAGTAACAGAAGCAATGTGCGGTTTAGGCAAAGTGATTTCTGGGTTAATACATGCCTACAGAGTTCTGTGTGGTGCATAGCGTGCTTTAGAGCTGAATGATTTGGATTTGGGGGAAATATCTATAGATTTTCGAACAAGTTTTGTGACTGCAGTTTAAACTGAGATTATTTTAAGGTCCAGACCAGCATATCCACTTTTTCTGGCTTCAGGTTCAAAAGGTAGCACATCTAGTTTGTTCATGTGGATGTTCAGTCGCTTCTAAATGGTCTGAATCGGGGGTGCCCAATCCTTCCTGTAGATCTACCACCCTGTAGAGTTCATATCCTACATGCCTTGTTCTAATATTCAGGTGCCTCTGAAGGCCTTTCATTCCATGTAACACGTGTGTGAGGTTGGGGTGGGAGCTAAACTCTGTACGGTGGCAGATCTTCAAAACCAACCATGGTAATTCATCTGTAGAGAGTTCACAAGCCGTGTTTTTAGGTTTAAAAAGTTCCTTACTTAAAACTTAGGCTATAATTAAAATTGCAGCTCTTGCGATTTGAATGTTGGGACTACCCTTATAAGATCTTTAAGTATGGTTTACATTTAGTTTATTAATGGTTAAGAATTAGGTCATGCACACCTTTAAAATCACTGATAAGCAGTTGTAAACACATCAGCAGTGACCTGTCTGATGAATATTTGAAGCTGACAGGTTTAATGCTTAATGATGGAGAAGACAAAGTAAGATAAGTAACCTGCAAGATCTTAGGTTTAACAGTATAGTTGAATATGTGCTCACAATTTTGCACACTTTTTATGTGTTATAACTGCTTATTATTTTTTGTGTTTATAACCTAATTAATAACGATTAATAAACTAGTTTTAAACCGTTGATTAAAGCTTTATAAGAGTAATCTTAAAGTAAAATGTAAAAACATAAAATTGATCAAATCTTTCAGCCCTAGCTTGCTTACACCCGGGGATAGATCAGCCTTCTTGTGTCAAGGAGGAACAAGTCTATGTTCCAGACCCCTTAAAGAACTGAGAATTAACCCTGAAATGCTTTTAAAAGTGCTGAAACCATGCATATTGCTTTTGTATGTGTGAGTGTGTGAGCGAGAATGTGTGTGGCAGTCGGAATGAAAGAGAGAGGGCGCTATGAAGTTTAGTAGAGGTGCTTTTTATATTACTAGAATTTTTAAATTATTTATTTTTTGTCTCTACTTTGTGACATATTGCCTTTTAGGTAAGAGACAAGTATTAGTGCTCAACAAAAGTAAATCAGCAGACAAACAAAAGTAGCCTTCCAAGTAACGCCAGTCCAAGGTATCAATAATGATAGTGTCATATTAACTGACTGACAGTGAGAGCAGTTACACTGAACTGTTACATGTCATTACATGAAGCTGTTACATCTTGTAATACTTTTCATAAATGCCATATCTCCATGGTGCAATCCACATAATCAGGCTTTATTCTGAGGATTTCTCTTACCAGTAAAGTAAGCATTGCACTAATCAGTATCGCGATACTAACACTTGATCATCAGATCCCACAGATTTTTTAGAATCTCTCTAGTTTCTTAAATAGGGGTGGGCAAAAATATATTGCAGTACTTTAAGGCATTTTCTCAGTACATAATACGTATCAGCATATTTAGTTTCTGAGGTTTAATAAAGGGGAACAGACAAAAATGAACTAGCAGTGCCACATTTAAAAATACTTTTAAAACTATGAATACAGTGATTTTTATGCAGCATTTCACATGCTGCACTATATTACATTTTAATTATGCTCTCTGTTTAAAGAAACGTTCAGATAGTTGGTGTTCTTTACAGACAATGCTAAATAGCATCATATTGCCCACCCCTACTCTTCACCTACAGCAAGATGGCTAAACTTCATTACAAGCAGCTGGCCAAAGGACTTTATCTGCCCAACACTGTGAAATGCAGCCCCCTGTGAATTCCTCAACTGGAGTGCCAGCCCCGCGTGCTCATTTCCTGTCCTTTATCTCTGGGCAGGCTTCATATATAGGCCACACATTTCAGCAGTTCTAAGATCAGGTTGATCTTAGTTTATCTCCAGATAAGTATGATTGAGTGAACTACTCATAGATCCATTTCTTACACTTTCATATATTTTACACCATCTATTTTAACAGAATATGGTACAACAACAGCATTAAAGGGCCCATATCATTGAAATCTGAACTAAACTGAGTTTAAGGTTGCATGCAAAAATTGTTTTGAAATGTACTGTTTACTTCCCTGTTTGTTCACAATGAAGTTATCCAGTCGTAATACAGTCGTATCCTAAAGTTTGGCTGCCCCAGTCAAATGGCTTTTTTGTTTTCTTTTATTTGACTGAGAAAAAACTATACATCCTTTACAGAGAAAGCACATTTTAATGCATAATTACTTTTTATTTGCTGAATTTAACATATTGGTGGGGAAAAAATAAAACATAAAATGTGGCTTGGGCAAAAGTTATGGCACATTTTTATATTTTATATTTTCTTTTTTTCCCCCCCCAATATGTTAAACTAAACCAATGAATAGAGGTTATGCACTAACATTTGCAGAAAAATGCCATATTTAAGTTTGTTCTCTGTGGATGTGTTAACTTCTTTTCACTTGAAAAATCAACAGAATGTCATTTGATTGGGGGTGTTTTGCATATGGTTGCATACCAGGCTTGAAGGTTCAGTAACAATATCCACTTGGTTAATTCTAAGGGATAAAGAGAGGTTAGAATATGGTCACATAAAAAGGAATTATAACTGTTTTTTGGTACAAATAACACCAAAATACCACAAGTGCCAACAGGAGAAATATAAAATACAAGAAAAAAATATGACGTGGGTCCTTTAAAGCAGAAGGATGAATTACAATACTTAACAAGGTCAAACAGAAGACTCTTACCCATGTGTTCTCTTACCCTCAGTACATCGCTGTGTTCACACCTTTAAACTTCAAAATGCCAAATGATAAACATCTGGTCGTTCCGTGCACCAGGAAGGATTTCTGTTTACTTCAAAGTTTTGACTGCCTCTTTATTTGCATATCATGTAAGGATTTTAATACTAAGAGGACAGTTTGAAGGTGCACAAATACATACTGGTTCCTTATCTAATCTGTTTACTATATCTAATCCAGTATGAATGGTTTTATCTATTATTATTATTATTGCTAAATAATAAAGGCAATGTGTAGACCACAGTATAGAAGGCACAGGTCAGCATACAGGTGTGCTATATAACCAGCCATTCGTTGGCCATCCAGCACCCAAGAACGTTATTTGCAGGTGCCAGCATTTGATGTGGTAATCAGCTTGTAAAGGGTGGACTTCCTGGCTCTGTTGGAAATCGACAAATCCTGTTGTCCTCTTGAAGTCTCTGCTGTCATCCCTTCTGCCTTGCTATCTAAAGCATGTACAACAATTCACTTTAAATGCCAACAATAGGAACTACAACATACCGAGATACAAGGTACAATCAGTGAGAACTGAATGGAACGTTTTGATGGCATCTCCTCTGGATGGAGAAGGAAGTTCTTAAAGCAGTTGCCTGTGTTAACTGTGAAAGATGAAAATAAACTCGTCTTCAATGTTTTGCACTATAGAAAGTGGATTGGTCTGATTTATTTTTTGACACAATATTTTAAAGTTGTCGGAAATCAGGACGTGTTTCCTGTGGGTGCTGTGATGTATTTCTGAGTGCATGATGGTATCATGAAGTGTCTCTGAGCTAGCTGAGCTTTTACTCTGTGAGGTGGTGGGAAGGGGAGGTGAAACGTGTTATTGGTTAATGTAATTCTGCCCCACCTGTTGGTGCGAGGTGTTGTAATCAAATGGTAAAGATGTTGTAGAGGCAGGAAAAGTCATTACACATTACACTTTGGTGCAAATTTACAGGAAAACAAGAATTTTGTCTTTTAACCCCTTAAAATCAAATTATTACATACTGAGGTTTATTATTCAGTAACTAGAGGGACTTCAATACAAAGTGATTGATTGGATAGAAGTGTGTGATAGAACTTTGGGCCCACTGATGAGCTCTGGCCATTTAAGGGGTTAAATGATATGAAAAGTCATGCTTGATAAGAGTAGATAACAGAGCTAAAAATCTAAAAAGCTCATTTCAATTAGACATTAAAATTGCTTTCAATTTATTACATGTGTATATGTCATGAAAAGGGAGCAAACTGTTAATAGTACTGTGCAGAAGTAAGAGACCACCATTCATTTATTTATTTCTAGTCGAAACAGCCATTAAGTACAAGCTTTTTCCAGAGATATTTCTGAGGAGATTAGGTATGAGATAATCCACTTGCATAAGGAAGAGGAAAGTCAAGGGAACATAAGTGGAGGAAAAACAAGAGTTTTCAAAACTGGAGTTTAGAGAATGATTAAAAGATAGAGAGAAAATGGGATTCCCAACAACCATGTAAGACCTGGTAGACCACCAACACTGTCCTTAGGACCCATCAGATAAACAGTGTCTAAGCTTTCATCTTTGAGAGAGAGAAGAAAATCAAGCTGCTTCAGATCAATAAAAATCCACAGGTGTTTCTGTCCATCCTTCCACTGTGAGAAGACAACTCAGCGCTATGGGTCTGAAAGGGTGTGTAGCTGTTTAAGAAGCCTCACTGACAAAAAGAAAATAAGAGAAAAATATCCCTGCAGAGTTCTTTGAAAAACTGAATGCAAGTCTCCTAGAAAGAACTGTAAAAATGAAGACAAAGTGTGGACACTCGAAATACTGAAAAAAATTTGGAATTTGATTCATTTGTTGAGGCTTCTGAGTATTTTTCTGTTAAGTGTATTCATTCATCATCTACGCCATTTATCCTCCTGGGTCACAGGAGGCAGGAAACACCCTGGAGAGGTCACCAGTCCATCAAGGGGCAGGCTCACAGACATACACATTTACACCTAGAGGCAGTTTAGTATCTCCTATTGGCCTGACTGCATGTCTGGACTATGGGAGGAAGCACCTGGAGGAAACCTAGGCAGACACAGAGAGAACATGCAAACTTGACACAGAAAGAACCCTGGTCACCCACCGAGGAGTCGAACCCAGACCTTTTTTGCTGTGAGGCACCACTATACCACCATTGTTTTATATGTTTTCTACTTTTTTTCTGCCACTGAAAACTGAAACTGGTAATGACTGTTCTGACTGGAATTTAGAAAGTGCTCTCTGACCCTTATTTTACTAATCAGGGTCCAGTGATACTTTGGACAGGATTTGCTGAGACTTTGAGGTTTTTAAAGGTACAGCACACCCATGCACCAACCATTGTAACAATAGCACTTGGGCATGAGTATGAGCTGTGTCATTCCGCAGGTATGTATGCAAAGACAAAGCAGAATAATGAATAAATATATTCAACAAGCAAAATGAAAACATGTATAGCTAGAAAAACTGAAGTTGCATTCTCTGACCCCTCAGGGTTTTTATCTGGCTCGGCTACGTGGGAAGACAACAGCAGTAGTAGTGAGTGGGCTGCAGTTCTCCACCTCGACCACCAGATGGCACTGTTGCTCCAGTGCAGCCACAGCAAACGCCGATTATTGTTCAGCACTCCACAGGTGGAATAAACACCAGGTACTGGACTGAAATGAAGCCTATGAAGCCTGGTTAGCTGAACACGCCTTAATTTTGTTGTATTTATTTTAGATTCATTTTTAAAGTGCAGTTTATTTTCAGTATGTGTGCAGTTTATTGGTTTTGTAACTCGTAGGCTACCTGGATATTGTCCGTTGCACACAAATGTAAGTCCATTTTCTATTTAAACAGTGGAGCAAATCAATAAGGGAGTGCAAAAAAAAATGAACAGGTAAATAAAATAGGGCTGTAACACTTTACACTTTAGGATATAGTTTCATTTGCCCTCAAACAAAAAAGCCTCAGCTGTAGGCCTACTGGCTACATGTTAATATGGCACTGAAGTCGTGTGCAGGTCGCTAACCTAGGTTACGTTTTCTAAAGTGAAGCTAACTAATTAGGTGGAAAACATTTATCTATGTCGAGTTAAACGGCTCGTAAAACAAACCTCGCCTGTTTAGAAGTGTAAAAATCAAATATTGGACATGTAGGGCACGTAAAGCGTGTAAATCCTGTCAGATTAAGATGTAAACTAACAAACAGTTTCAAGTTCCCGCAATTAAATTCACGAGGTTTTAAGTTAGCTTGCCGTTCGCCAGCTTCTTGTTCGAATCTTCCCGTTCCACCTTAAATGGTGCAGCAGTTACGTTCTGGCGCCTCAGGAGCCAGAACGTAACTGCTGCACCATTTAAGGTGGAGCGGGATAATTCGAATGGGAAGCCAAGTTCAGCTTCGTCCATTCGTCTCCGTTGCTCTCCTTTGTGCTTCTCGGGTTTTGTCCCCGTGTTTGGTGCCGGAGGAGAGGAAACAGTGTAAGTTCTGGAGGCGAGCGGGAGTGATGAGTTTATCAAACGTGTGCATATGTAGGATTTCCTGACGGAGTCAAAAATGGCATGATTAATTTAGCAGCGCTGCGAGGGTCAGGCGGGCTGATGTGGGGTAATTGGACGCAGAGGGAATCCACAGCAATTTGTGATTTCGTACTCTACGTGAGAAATTAGATGTCAGTGCAAATATGAAATTGCTCCTCAATGTTCTCAAAGAGTGTATGAAATTTTAAATATAAATCTTTAGTAGTCACTGCAAAGGGATTTCTTCTTTTCCCCTCTCTTTTCACTCGTTTTCCCTTTCTTTACCAACTCGAAATGTAACCCTGTGAAAATGTCTGGACGTGGACTGACAGACCTGTTCAGACTAATGATTGGGCTTTTTTTAATGGGCTCTTGAAATAAGGAAAAGAAGTGTAGAGGAACCTGTTAGTTATATTAAACCTATTTTTATAGCGTCACCTTTTATCTCATGTATATACAATATGTGTATATGTGTGTGTGTATATATATATATATATATATATATATAT